TTTAGAGGAGTTTATGGTGCACGGGACTATGTCCCTTCATATACAATAGGGAGAAGTGTGCTCGGCTCTTTAAACAAGGAGGAGGGACGAAGATGAAAATGACACCCACCCGACGCACCCAGTGAGAGTCGAAAGCCGAAGAAAATGTTTAGAAAGTCGAAAAATAAGAACTGGCTGATCGAAAAATTAAATTGCGGCAGATAGCAGAAGGATTACAGATTGGCAAGCAATGAGCAGGAGAGATTTTGCATGAACATTTCAACAAGAAAAATACCAGCATGCGTTGGTTACCGCGCAGCAGTTACGCCACTCGTCAAGCATCGACGATTGGAGAGTTGTAAAGAATTTTGGAACAGTTGATAAAATCTGGATTCGTCGGCATGATCCCGAGTCCAAGCAGGAGTCGATGCAGTGGAGCGTCGAAAATTATTTCTACCATTTTTTAGGAAAGTCGAGCGAATACACGTATTATTACTTGATTACTTACCAAAGGAAACTACCACGGACGAAGTTCACACGGAATGTTGTTTCCGGATTTACAGAAATTGCCCATCCACCATTAAGTCCAGTGTATTTCACTATACATGTGTTTCATTAAGTACTTTAGGCCGCGACTTTACCAGCCACCCCTAGTACGTCGAGCCTCGAGCGACGAGGCATATTTCTCACTCGGGGGATACGTGAATAAGCAAAATTGACGCATTGGCGCTCCGAGAATCCCTAAATAATTAAAGAGAGGCCATTTCACCAAAAAAAACTTATTACCCCTGCACTTTTTGGTGCGAAGGTGGACCTTACCTATTTCATATAACAATTCGGAGCTTTATGGTCGTATGATAATCGCCTTATTTTGTATTTCGACAACTATTTTCCAAATATGATCTGCCAGCTATTTGAAGAAAAACAAAATATTAACGCTTAAATTTGAAAAATAGATAAAAAAAAAAAGCGATATTACCTCATTAACTGGTCACTAGCAGAAAGTTGTTGCAATTTTTGTTGAAATCAGACAATTTTGTCGACATTGTAAATTTGGTTAGTTATTGGAAATGTATGATGAGCTGGAGACGTCTACACATGTTCATATCTGCTTTTAATTAAGTCATATCAATAGGCTGACTTGCCTGCCACCTCAGCTATTATGCCAATGAAAATGCTTCCGCTTTCTTTAATATAGATATATTGGGAAAAAATTAGTTGGAAAGGCATATTACTGGTTAAACGTGACATTTTCGAAATATCTTCATGCTAGCGCCACGCTTAGGGAATTCCAAAAACAAACTCCTTTTACAACGAACAACTTTTGCTTCTTTCATTGCAAAAATGAAGAATAACTATAAATTTTCACGGATTTCCATCAATGTTGTCATTTAATTGATTTGATTTCTAGCCAATTGAAGTCGCTACCAATTGATTGTGGTTGGCATTGAACGTGACGCACTCACCTTGACAATGGACACAAGCACGAGATTAAAGTGTGTATAATTAAAAAACTCATGTAAAGTGCATTGAAGTGGGCTGTGTACCTCGGATAAAAAATAAATAAATAAATAAACAAATACATGAGTATGTGCATAAGTAAAATAAGTATATTTGTATGTATGTACAGAAGCATGAAAGCTTACTGATAGCAATCGGCTAACCATTAGGTTAGCTGCGCACAGCTGACTAGCCATTGTCCGACTAGGCATGCTGCCTTGCAGGCTGTCTACATAAGCGCGAATATATGAACATACACACATACATACGTTTAAGTATGTGCAAACTTGACGCTTACACCCAAAATGGGTACACTTAAGTGATTAAATTGAGTTTGGTGCTTGTACACGTACATATATTGAAAAAGTGGTGCAAGTGGTTAATACAGCATGCCCATAAAGCCGGTTTGACACCGGCAACGCTGTAAGAAAATGTTAAGCTTCACATACACAACATTGCATATCAGCAGTCGGCTTACCTGTACAGCGAAAATGCTGTGAATTGATAGGGATTTGTGTGGTGTGGCGTTGAGGCTGGTATTGGACAAGATTCGAACGGTTAATTACAGCCGGTATCAGTGCAATGAACTTGATATTAACTTCTCGTTTCGCTTAGTAAGCGAGTTGTGCAGCATTTTGCGTGTGTGTGTGTGTGTGTACATGTGATGTTTTGGTCGAATGAAATGTAGGTTAACTTATCGTTAGTTTTAATGTTTTCCTTTTTAAGTTGCTACGTAAAGAATTCGCACACATTTGATTATTTTCTTATTTCTGGTTTTCACAATATTTTAGCAAAGCGTCTACTTTCATTTTACAGACATAAAGTACATATTTGATTTCAAACGAAAAACTGTAGTAGCTGTCATTTTATTTCCGTTTCCTCTTAAAATATCCGTCGTCATCAGAGTTGCCATTACAATTAGGGAAATGAGTTTTGAATATATTTCCTTTTATTTATTAAGTGTATTAAAAAGTAATAAGAAGTTCAGAAACGAGCAAATCGCTATAGAATCATATTATGATGGTTATAATGGCGGTACAGAACGGAATCGTGGCTGTGAAAATCGTATGCCAGTTATAACATTATGGTCTGTTCCGTGCCGAAAGTGTATAACTTTCGTTGTCATAGGGTAGCATCCATAATCACATAGCACGGCCAAAAAACAAAAGACAGTGTGAAAGAAAACCACGTTCTAGGAGAAGCTGAGTCACAGGAAACGACACGGTAGGATACATGAAGAGAGAGAGAGGTCTCGGAAGGCCTAAAATATGACTACGTAATTTATGGACAATCCTTAGACCAACTTAATTTTTAGCTTAAAATATTGACTTTTTAATTAATATTAAATATTTTATTAATTTAAGATACTATAACGCGATATTTCGAAACTGAGCTCATTACCGCTTATCTGAAAAATCAGTTTTACATTCTGATGTAACAGGTACCAACAAACGGCACTATAAAAATCAGACAGACTACAATGCATGAAAGATCCTACAGTAGCTTTTTAAAATTTGAATAATACCGTATGCCAAGTCATAGGGAACGATATTTTTAATTGTTTATTTTTGCAACGCTAAAAATAAAGAGCAATAAATACCCCATAGTGTGCATTTATGGTTCTAAATAATGATCTGGAAAAATCTGCACCAAATTTGAAGCAGTCGAAAGGGCAGCAGCAAAGAAGGACTATCCCGAGGATTCTGCACTTTGGTATAGTCACTAGCTCCAATAATTGATAAAGAATATTCTCGATTTTAAAATTCAATATAAAGAGTATCAAAAGTTTGCCGAAAAATGAGGTGATAACAAATAGTCACGATCATCTGATAGGGTCTTTTTGGTAAACAAAAGTGCTTATAGACTAGCGATACATTTTCTTAAAGGTATTTTATAACCATATTTTTTCACTAGAAGGAACAAAATTTGATAATTATAACAAGCATTAACATTGATTTTACATGCTTAAAACATCCAGTGGTCGCAATAGCCGCGTGGTTGGCAGAGCGACTTCCATTCGTGTGGCCAGTGTTCAAGTTCAGATCCGACTAACAACCAAAATTATAGAGTTCTATGGTTTACGAACGAGGGCACTTTCAGCTACATTTATGTTTACTTCTCTACTCAAAACCCTTTTTTAATTTAGGGAAACCTGAAAAACATTTCACTTATGTTATCTTAGATTCGGCTCATAAATAAAAAACTGTTAAAACAAAACTGCCATACTGATTAATTAATACCTCCACGATATACGGAAAATCGTGTTCGTTGAATGACATATTGGCCAAGAAAAGAGTTCGTTCGGCTTTTTATTGATTTTTCAAAATATGATAACTTTGTGTACATTTGTTCGAATCAAATCAAATATGTGCCGTTTTGATCGTAAACTTGTTGCCGACGAGATGCTAACTTCATTTTACCCCTCTCGTAGAAGACTGCGTCCCTATTGGCAAAAACTCGGAAAGCTAATTTTCTTACGCCTCTCTTGAGGCCAACTACTCACCATTAAGCGCTTGGTCACTTGGTGCCAGGTCCGGACTATAAGGTGGGTGCGTCACCAAAGACGTGTGTGGCCTGGCGTTATCCTGATGGAACACAATTCAGCCTGTGTTGATCGAAGATGGCCTCTTCTGGATGAGTGCTGCCTTCAAGCGGTCCTTTTGTTGGCCCTAGGGGAGCAGCTCGTACTAGATGATTCCTTGCCAATCCCACCAAACACACGGCAAAACCTTCCTGGCTGTCAATTCGGTCTTGCCCACCGTCTGAGCCGCTTCCCCGAGCTTTGACCACGACCCATTTTTCATCGCCAGTCACAATCCGCTTCAGAAACGGGTCGATTTTGTTGCCATTCAGCAGCGATTCGCAGATGGAAATTCGGTCCATTATGTTTTTTTGCTTTAGATCGTGTGGCACCCAAACATCGAGCTTCTTTTTGAATCCAACGCTATGTAAATTTTTCCAGACGAGCATCTGGCTTAGCTTTAGTTCCTCAGCAATTAAGCTAGTGCTCACGTGATGATCTGTTTCCACTATTTCCATGATTTTATCGCAATTTTCAGTATCGAAAAAAGTATGAATTAATTTTTTCAGCCGTTTTGGCTGCTTTTTAGCCTTGATCGAAGAAAAATTGTAAGACATAGCGAATTTTCTTTTTGCTGGTGTAAATCTTTGACGAGCGCTCACAACGTACTGAGTCAATCAATCGAAAACCTGTCAAAGACAAACTTTTAGTGCGAATAAGCACGTTTTCAGCGCCGTATAGTATGACATGATGCGACACGCACCACTAGTACTATGGACAATAACGCCAACTCTTAGATAAAAACCGATCGAACTTTTTACTTGACCTAATATAACAATCTTAATCTAAATAAACTAAATTCGATAGGATTACAAAACGTAACTTTGCAATGCCAATCCAAATAAGAACAACCCTGATAATCTATTCTGCTTCAATATGGCAGCTCAAAAATTTACTGAAGTGTTTTACTGAACATACCTCATAATATAAATGACATGAAATTCAACAATTTTGACAGAAGTGATTTGCAGTTTTGGGTTTTGCTATTGGATATATTCAGTAATTGTGAAAAGGCCTGAAAGAAAAAATTAAAAATTGTACGAAAAATATTATTATAATTAGTGTTCTTTTAAATAAAAAGTAAATAAGTGGAAAAAATATTGTGAAGGCTTATAAGGTGAGTGTGGTGTTGAGAACATAATCGTATTCTGTGGTCGTAGTCATGTTATACATACATTCGTACTTTTAAAAGCTATGCACATATTGCATTCAAGATATCTTAAATAAATGCACATATTGCATTCAAGATATCTTAAATGAATGCAAGATTTACTTATTTAAATGGTTTAAAATGCCTGATTTCCGTTCACCATTGATTTGATGCACTTTTATTCAAGCAGTCATTTATGTATATACACACAAATATTATATATAAAGCGAGCATAACCTTAAATAAATTTGTATGACGTTTGTGAATTCCAGTAAACAATCATCACAATGACTTTAACGTCCGCCGCTGGTATCATCTCGTTGTTGGATGAGCCAATGCCTGATTTAAAGGTATTTGCTCTGAAAAAACTCGACAACATCGTTGACGAGTTTTGGCCAGAGATTTCGGAATCCATTGAAAAAATTGAAATGTTACACGAAGATCGTGCATTCCCGGAAAATAAGTTAGCTGGCATGGTTGCTTCTAAAGTATTCTATCATTTGGGATCATTTGAAGATGCCTTGACCTACGCATTAGGTGCTGGAGATTTGTTCGATGTGAATGCACGCAACGAATACACTGAAACTATTATTGCAAAGTGTATTGACTTTTACATTGCACAACGTATCGCCTTTATTGAAAATCCGAAAGATGCAAAGACAGTAGATACGCGTCTAGAAGCCATTGTTAATCGTATGATTCAACGCTGTTTGGATGATGGTCAATACCGACAAGCTTTGGGTATTGCCCTAGAAACACGCCGCATGGATATTTTTGAACAGTCCATTATGAAGTCTGATGATGTTAGTGGCATGTTGGCTTATGCCTACAATGTCACCATGTCATTAATTCAAAATCGAGGTTTCCGTAATGAAGTACTACGTTGCTTGGTGGGTTTATATCGTGACTTGGGAGTTCCAGACTATGTAAACATGTGTCAGTGCTTGATATTTTTGGAAGACCCACTAGCAGTTGCCGAAGTGCTGGACAAACTAACACGCTCTTCCGTCGAAGGAAATAATTTAATGGCTTACCAAATTGCATTCGATTTATATGAGTCAGCAACCCAAGAATTTTTGGGTAAAGTACTCCAGGCACTTAAAGAAACAGCACCTATCCCAACCGCATTGCCGACAACCTTTAAGCCGCAAGGAACAAACCCTTCTGGCAGTGATGACGCATCAAAATCATCCAGTGAAGATAAACCAAAATCCGAAGATTCCCCAGGAGACGCTGAAGGTAAAAATCCATAAATTTTATTTTGTTTCACATCGGTTTATTATTAATTTTTTTTTACCAGGCGATGCTAAAATCGAACGAACGATTGACTCACTAAACGATTCTGAGAAAGCTCATCAGAAAAATATTGAGAAACTTATCTCTATTTTGTCCGGCGAAGTAACAATTGATCTTCAATTACAATTCTTGATCCGCAGCAATCATGGTGATCTACAAATCTTACGTGGCACCAAAGAAGCCGTGCGGGTGTCTATTTGTCACACTGCTACCGTTATTGCAAATGCATTCATGCATGCCGGTACTACGTCCGATCAATTCTTACGTGACAATTTGGATTGGTTAGCTAGAGCTACAAACTGGGCAAAATTGACCGCCACTGCATCGTTGGGCGTCATTCATCGCGGTCACGAAAAGGATTCTTTGGGTCTTATGCAAAGCTATCTGCCTAAAGAAACTGGCCCCAGCTCCGGCTATTCCGAAGGCGGCGGTCTATACGCTTTGGGACTAATTCACGCCAATCATGGTGCGAACATTATCGATTATCTCTTGCAGCAACTTAAAGATGCACAGAATGAGAACGTACGTCATGGCGGTTGTTTGGGTTTGGGTCTGGCCGCGATGGGCACTCATCGACAAGATTTATATGAACAATTGAAATTTAACTTGTATCAAGATGACGCAGTAACTGGCGAGGCTGCCGGTATAGCGATGGGTATGGTAATGTTGGGTTCTAAGAATGCACAAGCCATTGAGGATATGGTTTCGTATGCCCAAGAAACCCAACACGAAAAGATTTTACGAGGCTTAGCTGTTGGTATTTCTTTGACTATGTTTGCTCGCTTGGAAGAGGCCGATCCATTGGTAACCAGTTTGTCTACTGACAAGGATCCGGTATTACGTCGATCTGGCATGTACACAATCGCAATGGCCTACAATGGCTCCGGAAGCAACAAAGCTATTCGTCGCTTATTACATGTTGCCGTATCCGATGTAAATGATGATGTTCGTCGCGCTGCAGTTACTGCTATCGGATTTATACTCTTCCGTACACCAGAGCAGTGCCCTTCAGTTGTTAGTTTGCTTGCTGAATCCTACAATCCTCATGTGCGTTACGGTGCCGCTATGGCTTTGGGTATTGCTTGTGCTGGTACTGGATTACGCGAGGCAATTGGTCTTTTGGAACCCATGGTCAAATTCGACCCCGTTAACTTTGTACGCCAAGGTGCACTCATCGCTTCTGCTATGATCCTAATTCAGCATACCGATCAGACTTGCCCGAAAACGACTTTCTTCCGTCAACTTTACGCCGAGGTAATCACCAACAAGCATGAAGATGTCATGGCCAAGTTTGGCGCTATTCTCGCACAAGGTAAGCTAAAACTTAACTTGTTTTTCACCTTTATCAATACCAACATAAATTTTTATTTTTCATTCAGGCATTATTGATGGGGGTGGCCGTAATGCCACACTTTCTTTACAATCGCGTACTGGACATACCAACTTGCAAGCTGTTGTGGGAATGCTTGTGTTCACTCAGTACTGGTATTGGTTCCCATTGGCGCACTCGCTTTCCTTAGCATTTACACCCACATGCGTTATTGGTTTGAACTCGGATTTGAAGATGCCTAAAATGGAATTCAAATCTGCCGCAAAACCATCTTTGTATGCCTATCCGGCACCTTTGGAAGAAAAGAAATCGGAGGAGCGCGAAAAGGTAGCTACCGCTGTGCTCTCTATAGCAGCACGTCAAAAGCGTCGTGAAATTGCTGATAAGAAGGAAGAAGAGAATAAGATGGATGTCGACGAGGACAGCAAGGATTCCAAAAAGGATGATAAGAAAATGGATGTTGATGAGAAGCCAGAGAAAAAAGAAGATAAGAAAAAGAAGGAAGAGAAAGAAAAGAAAAAGGAGGATGAGAAGGAGAAGGACAAGGAGAAGGAGAAAGAGAAAGAGAAAGATAAGGATACTGGCGATAAAAAGAAAGACGAAAAAGAAAAAGAGAAGAAAGAAAAGAAAGAACCTGAGCCTAACTTTGAGATTTTGCAGAATCCTGCACGAGTTGTACGTCAACAGCTCAAAGTTATAAGCGTTAACGAATCACAAGCTTACATACCATTAAAAGATGTTACCATTGGTGGCATTATTGTACTACAACACACCGGTAAATCTGTTGAGCAAGAACTGGTTGAACCAGTTGCCGCCTACGGTCCAAAGAATGACGATGCTAAGGAACCAGAGCCACCAGAGCCATTCGAATACATAGAAGACTAAATGGGAATGCTTTTTATCATTTTGTAATTTTATTATAACAATTCTACATACATATACTGCGTTTCACATTTAAAAAACATATAATAAAATTAAAATAAACTTTAACTCATCTCATTACAATCGAGTCTTTTTGAGTAACATCTAAAATTTAAGGAGTCATTAACTCATTCATACATCTCACAAAGCGATGCATATTGTTACTCTTATCATATGGCTTTAAAAAAGACAAATTTGCTTGTTGCAATGTGTCGGCAAGGCCCTCCACATTGCAATAATAAAAGTAACCTTCCTCGCTAAGTTGCTGCGCTAATTCTAATTGGTGATTGTCCATTAAACTGTCGTTAATCACTATAATACCCGCCCGATTATGATTTAATATATCCATGCAAGTACCAGCGCCGGCATGCCCTATTACCAAATTCGCCAGTACCATATCCGACCTTGGTGTTTCAAGCTTAAAGTCATATTGCTCCAGTGTTATACCATATTCTTCAAGTATTCTACCAGTGTTTTTCACCGGTCTTCCATGGCCATATTGTATGACCAATTTCCGGCATCCTCTTTGTTTTAATATGCGCAAAATGGGATCAGAAACAATCGCTTTAACAAGATCTTCGAATCTGGTTGTACCAACTGTGACATAAATCATTCGCCACTCCATTTTTTCAAACCGTTTAATACTTAATAGAGTTTAATCATTTTTTTAAGAATAAAGAGATAAGCAAAACAAAAAATTAAATGTCATTCTTGGTAAAAAAAAAACATAGTCACTCGTGTCACTTGAATGTCAAGAATGTTATGGAATACATTGCGCTAATAAGTTCTATCGTTTTAAATACGGACGTCACAATTTCAAAATACATACTTGCACACAAATAACATAGATAACCCAAATTTCCGGGTTGTTCTGATATTATAATTCAAAAATGTGACGACAGCGCAACAGCAGCTGTTTATAAATTTTATTAAAAATACTGAAATTGATGCAATCTCTGCGTTTTTTATATTTTATAAAACAAACTAAATAGATGTATTGTTTAAAATAGAATTTTTTAGTTACTGCATGAATACCTAAAATGTTCCTATGGATACGTTTTGCAATTTCATTTCCTTTAAAATTAGTAATATATTTATTAGTTAGTTAATTTATTAATTTGAAATGAAGATCATCCCTTACATTTCAGCTGTTGTCATGCTTCCTCTTCTATTTTAATTTATTCAACAACAAAACTTTTCTTAAAGGATATCTTCATGGAGGCGATTGTGTGAGAGCTTGCAATTTCGACTTTCGATATTTGACGTCAATAAAAAGTAAATAGTACATTAAAGTTATAACAATGGGAATATTTAGAGAAATTCTAGCACGGTTTCCCCGCGGCGGGCTTTCGTATGTGTTTGCCTATGGCAGTGGTGTTAAACAGCAGATTGGTTATGAGGATGTTGTTAAGCAGAAGAACAACGTTATTGATCTTATATTCTGTGTCCGTGATCCACTTGGCTGGCATGCTGAGAATATTAATCGGCAGGAAAGTCACTATTCTTTACTACGCCTACTGGGTCCACGCTTCATCATGAATTACCAAGAGCATTTGGGTGCACGCGTGTACTTCAACACTTTAGTGCCATTGGATGATATTAATGTCACCATTAAATATGGCATCGTATCTCGGGAGCACCTGCTCGATGACTTATTAAACTGGCGGTATTTGTATCTCGCAGGCAGACTGCAAAAGCCGGTATGTGAGTTAGTACCAACGAATGGTGACAACGAATTAAAGGATGCTTTAGTTAGAAATCTTACAAGCGCTTTTCAAACATCACTTTTACTGTTACCAGAACGTTTCTCAGCCTACCAACTGTTCCACACAATTTCTAGTCTCAGTTATAAAGGCGATTTCCGTATGCTATTTGGCGAGAATAAGCAAAAGGTGCGCAATATTGTTTTAGCCCAGGAAAAAGACTTTTTGGAACTGTATTTCCCTGTGATGCAAAAGTTAACTGACTATGTGGCCGCTGATTTCAATGCCAAAGAATTGGGTACAGATAAACCCATTGTACAGTTTGAGCAAGACAAATCATTGACAGCGAATATACACCATCTACGTGAAGCACCCAAAGAGTTGCAAATGCGAATTGTTCGCAATTCAGCTTTTAGGGGGGATTATATGAAAATTGTACCGCACCTAGCTGAATCTCATAATCTCCGAGAACTAGTACAGACTTCCGTGAATGACATAGTGTGGCGAAGCAGCATCACGCAATCATTGAAAAATATACCAAGCGCCGGACTTTTCAAATCTTTGGTATACAGTTACCGCAAAGCGCTTAAAACTTTTTCTTAGTTTCAGAAATTTACGTGCACTTTTCGTGGACACATGCCAAAGTTATTTCGAAATGAAATTAAAAAAATTTTTTTTTTCACTAAGTTAAAACGCAAAATGCATTTACTCCACTATAAATGAAAAAGTGAAGATTTAAAGTATTTTTCAATACGGGAGTTTGAATTGTTTACTAGATATAATTTTATTAGAATTTCTATTCCTGTAAAACTCTTGTTTAGCTATAATTGTATATATTTGTAAAGATTTGTTAACTATTTCTTATAATAGAATTCATTAAGTGCAATAAAGTGCATAGAACTTACCACCTACCAAACTAATGCAGTTTCTTTTCGTTTAATAGATTCATACATACATATAGGATATTACTGAAATAAACCTATATATATAAATAGGATGAGCAACGGCACAGATTCATCCTCATCATCGGAGGACTATAAAAAGCATAAGAAAAGCAAAAGGCAGAAACATAAGTCCGAGAAAAAGAAGCATAAGAAAAAAGAAAAGAAAGTAAAGCATCACAAGGATAAAAAACGTGATCGTCAGGAGAAAATCTTAAAGCAACCTATGAATGTCCAGCCTTCAAAGCATAGAGAAATTTGTAAAAATGATGACACCTTTGGTCCAGCCTTACCACCACATTTACGCAAAGTAGAGAACAAGACCGAACAGGTTTTAATTGGCCCAGCATTGCCTAGTGATCTTTTGAACGCAACGCATATTATAGAAACAGAGAAAGAAAGCGAAATCCATCAAATCGAGGAACCACTTGGTAATAACGAAATAAATGATGATTTTTCTTATGGTCCCATGCCTGTACCGATGGATGCTGAGGGAATTACACAAATGAGTGCAACACAAATAGAATTAGAACAACGCGCTTTAGAATTGAAATTGGCAGTCATAGAAGGAGGAACATGTAAGACAAGCGACGCGAAAGTTCGCGAAGAGTGGATGCTGGAATTGCCTGCGGTTGGTTTGAAAGGTGGTCTAGCGGCACTGTCGAATATGAAGCGTACATTTCACCAGGGAAAGGAGAGACCAGATTTTAGCGACCGGTAAGTCAGATTTTTTTTTTTAACATCACATCTTGGTGTCGTGTTTTTCCATACAAATTTTTTCATGTACGCATCCTTATTTTTAGGTCTTCTTGGACGAAAACACCACAGGATGTCGATAAACCTACAGCAAGTACGTCAAAGTCAACAACAAATGCCGAATCACTGAAGCGTAACGCTGAGTTGGCTTACGAACGTCAACGTGATGAGGAACAAGCGCGTCTGGCGAAAAAACACAAGAAGGATCACAAGCGAGATGAATCATTAGTAGAGATGCATCAAAAGAAATTGCGTAAAGAGCAAAGGAAGAAAGTAAGTTGTCCGCCGATCCTGCAACTGTATATTTGATAATTAGCATTCTTCATTTTTATCCAAATTTAACAGGAAAAAGAACTAGCGGCAGCAGGTGCAAAACCTGAGCGTCGACCCTTCAGTCGTGATGTAGATCTAAAATTGAACAAAATTGATAAAAATCAAACGAAGCAAATTGTGGATAAAGCCAAAATACTTAATTCGAAATTTGCAAGTGGCAAAACTAAATATTTGTAATCTTTTACCCGCTTTTAATTTTTATTATAAGATAATGTGGAAAATACTACATATTTAACTTACTTAAGCGCAAATACTTATCACGTATTTTATTAAAAAAAAAATAGAAAATGGGCGAAGGAGTTAATGCTTCATTTAACGTTGAGGCGCTGGTTTTGGTTTAGGTATTTTACTTAGAAGCATTTGTATTTCATCTTTTTCCTTCCAATCCTTCCAAAGCTCATAAAGATTACAAATAGCTCGTACGATTTCCTGTACTTTGTCCAAATCTACATTTAATTCGGCAAACCAGGTTTTCGTAGAGTCCTTTTGCAGTATAACGCAAGCGATTTGTAAGCATGCAATTGCAATCTGTAATCAATAAATATAAAAATATGTACATATATGAATTGTTTTCACATAAACTCACTCTTACCTGATATGGGGGATATAACAAGCAGACATCTGTACGTAATGAATCATTAACTATTCGCCAGCTTAAAGTTAACAATTGTTCTTCTTGACCCAAATCCTGCACCAACTGTAGTAAGGGACGATAAGGCTGGTACACAATTAGGCAACAATCTAAATTTTCCAACAAATAAAATTCGCACTCCAGAACATGATTTGTTCGGTAAGGGAATTCCTGTGTGTAGGCGTAACTGAATTTCGATTTAATCACCGATTGACAGATTGTTATAAGTCTCGAATTCGATATCACGCCGAATTCCTCCACTTTTGAAGCGAGTAATATGCATGTAGGTGCCAGCAAAAGTGGATCGATATTTTTTAGTGAATTCCTCGCATAGAAACGTTTGAAGTAAACTGTGGCCGTGGCAATAACCTGTTGACGTAGTTTCAGCTGCTCGCCCAGTACTTGTATAACATTAGCGAAGAAGATAAATATTTTTTGATACTCGTCTTCACTGAGTACTTGCAGGTCATATTGCCTTTCACGTATCAGATCCTGTCGATCTAGTATCCACTGTTGTGAGTGAGAACTTTGCCAGAAATTCCCAGCCATCTACAACAAATACACCAAATTACACAGAAATATTCTACTAAAAAAGTCGAATTAATCGTTATGGAAATTTTGAATCCTTTTAATGATCGCAAAACACACAAATTATTAAATGCAATAAATTCTTAAAATTATTTATTTCTCCAACAAATTCATAATTTTTTTTCTGCTCAAACGTCAAATTTCTTTTGTTGTCATCGAAGAATGTGACACGAAAAAGTGAAGAAAAATAATTAAGAATTTCTTCAGCTCTGTTCGATTGTGTGTAACTGAACATGCTCCACTTTGACATTTGAAAAGTTGACGTTTCCAAAGCAGCCAACTTAAGTCCCAATTACTTGTCTGGTTGGTGTAAGATCGTCGAGGGCGAATTGTTTAATAAATTTTAAGCAAATCCTTTAAAAACAAGTTGAAACCATGGCGTTGCGAGTGCTTTCTGTTTCGCAAAATTTGCGCCAGCTTTCTAAAGGAGCTGAGCTTTTGAAAGTAAGTGATATTTGGGGGTAAAAACTATTGTGTGCACAGGAATAGGCATTGAAAATTACAGCACCCTTTTTCATTACGTAATGTGAAAAATCCTTAAAATTTATAAATGGCATTAAACAATTGGAAAAACATCTTAAATAACATCACACGAATTTTAGTGCGTACCAATTCAATTTCAAAATGTTATTTAATTCTTGTAAAAATCTTGGCAAATTACATATTCTACTTGAATTTGAGGTTATGTATGGTGTGTATCTTGATTACGAATTATTGGTTTTTCTTTAATTTTCTGATAGCGCTACAAGGCAACTGCCAGCCTTAAAAAAACACTCGTAAATATTCCAGCGACCCAGGTGACTCGATTGGATAACGGTCTACGTGTTGCCAGCGAAGATTCCGGCGCTGCCACTGCTACTGTCGGTCTATGGATTGATGCTGGCTCACGTTCGGAAACAGAGAAGAACAATGGTGTTGCACACTTTTTGGAACATATGGCTTTCAAGGTTAAATGTGAAACAAATATTTTAATTAATTTTTATTAATTGTTTGTATGCGAAAATTCATTTTTTAAATAGGGTACTGCAAAGCGTTCACAAACTGATTTAGAATTGGAAGTTGAGAATTTAGGCGCCCATTTGAATGCCTACACATCCCGCGAGCAAACCGTATTTTATGCCAAATGTTTGTCGAAGGATGTCCCTAAAGCTGTAGAGATTTTAGCTGATATCATTCAAAATTCGAAATTGGGTGAATCTGAAATCGAACGCGAACGATCCGTTATTTTGCGTGAAATGCAAGAAGTAGAAAGTAATTTACAGGAAGTTGTCTTCGATCACTTACATGCTACCGCCTACCAAGGTACACCATTAGGACAGACCATTCTTGGACCCACAAAGAACATTAAGTACGATTTCATATTTAATATCTATCTATTTGAAATATATGTAAAATTTTATGTTTTTTTACTTAGGTGCATTGGAAAGCAAGACCTCTGCGACTACATTTCAACCCACTACAAGGCCTCACGCATTGTGCTTGCTGGTGCCGGTGGCGTTAAACACGACGATTTGGTAAAATTGGCTCAAGATAATTTGCGTGGATTGGAAAATACTTTTGACGGTAAACCACCGGCAATCACTCCATGCCGTTTCACCGGCTCCGAAGTGCGTGTACGCGACGATTCATTGCCACTTGCCCATGTCGCTGTTGCTGTTGAAGGTTGTGGTTGGACTGATCAGGATAACATTCCTTTGATGGTTGCAAACACACTAATTGGGGCTTGGGATCGTTCCCAAGGTGGTGGTGTAAACAACGCTTCGAATTTGGCACGCGCCAGCGCTGAGGATAGTAAGTTATTACAAATTTTGTTACAAAACACCAAATACAGAATTACATATCTGTGTTTATTTCAGATTTATGCCACAGTTTCCAATCATTCAACACCTGCTACAAAGACACCGGCTTGTGGGGCATCTACTTCGTTTGCGATCCATTGCAGTGTGAGGTAATGTTAAATATATATGTTGATAAGTCCTCTTTGCTGATAGCAGATAAAATGTTCACAGGATATGTTATTCAACGTACAAACTGAATGGATGCGCCTTTGCACAATGGTAACCGAAGCTGAAGTTGAGCGCGCCAAAAATTTACTAAAGACAAACATGTTGCTTCAACTTGATGGTACCACACCTATCTGTGAAGACATTGGTCGCCAGATGCTCTGCTACAATCGTCGTATTCCATTACATGAATTGGAACAACGCACTGATGCCGTAAGTGTAAGCAACGTACGTGATGTTGCCATGAAATACATTTATGACAGATGTCCCGCTGTGGCTGCTGTTGGTCCAGTTGAGAACCTGCCTGAATATAACAGAATTCGCTCATCGATGTACTGGTTGAGAGTCTAATTTAAATGAGTAAACAAAAATTGCTTCGAGCAAAGTAGTGTAATTGCGTGAAACTAAAATAAACAATCTAATGAAAATATCGAAAGGTTAAATTAAAAATGAGTATCTCTTTAGGTGTATTCGAAAAATTCAAATTGGACATACTGTAATAATTAATTCTGATGTAAGTAACTGTCGTGATTGATAAATATATCAGTATATTTCACAATAAATAATCAATCAAAATAAAAAAAAAAAAATTAACGTTCTATAAAGAAAATTTATTCTATTACAAATACCCATAAGAATATACAATTGCTTAATTATACTATAGAATGTATGGAAAAAGTTAAAAGTATTATTCATGTGTGTAATTGGTTGGTATGCCACTAAGTCCTTTTTCTAACTTCGCTGGTTCCGTACAGCCCAGAGCTGGATCGAGACCTTTCCATGTACGATCTTCAAAAGTAAGACCTGTGTTTGTGGTCATCACTTCCATTTTTCCTTTTCCTACTAATGCCTGCTGTTGTTCACTCAGTGCATCTGCTGCTGCTCCTTCTTCCTCTATACCACCAGCATTGTTAGCCCGCACACGCCCGCTAACTAGACTAACATCTTGTTCCTGACTATCTGCGGGAATAAAAGCTAAAAATTTCTCTCCTTCAGGCAGTAGTTTTTTAAAATCGGTAACATATGTGTCGGGATATTTCATATGCCATGCGGGATTAAGTGCCATTTCTGCTTCAAACACCGAAACGATGGGTTTATAGTAGTCCTTGGAATTGTATACGTTATTAAAAGGACATCCTATCAGCACGAAACAGTCTATCTCCAAGAAGTTGGCTAATTTTGCTGGATTAATGCGACCAACTGATATAATTTGCGTCTTTATGCCACGTGCTTTAGCCATTTCCTGCAAATGTGAAACGATTTTCAAATAACCTTCAGCAGTGAGAGTAGCTACAATTAAGCCTAGTGTTTGAGCATCTTTGCATTTTTCAATATAATAATAACGACGACGCATATATTGGGCAGTTAATGGGTTCTTTTCATACAAACTGATTTTTAAAGGATCGTAGATGAACCATTGCGAAGCTGAAAGAAATTAAGCAAAAAATTAAACATAAAAATAAAAAGCCGAATTTATTACTTACCCTTAGTGGTGAGGGACAGATTTGAAAATCTTGCATTTTCAGTGCCTATGAAAAGGCAAATTGGGTCACTGGTGAGTTTTTGTTCAATAGCATCTTCCGCTGGTGGATAGGCTTCCACAAACAAATCTTTACACAATAGTTTCTCCTTAAGCTTATCTAAATTTAAATTAAAAATGTTTAAATAACAGGTGATTATATAATAATACAAAGTGTGTAACAGATTGTACATACAGCATAGTGAATCCTCGTCAGCTTCGTCAACACGTTTGTCCAATAAATGATGATAACCTATATCTAAGTAAATATATAAAACCTTGCTATTAACAGACTCGGCTATTGTGGTTAGCCTGTCGATAAAATTTTGGATGTCAAAAGGATAATGCGGATACATATAAAGCACTGGTAGACGAGAAACTCTGCTACGACAAGCGTTACCAAAATGTATTAAGCTATCTGCTTCTACGTGCCCAGCTGCGATCTTAAATGAATTTAATTAATTTACATTTATTCAGTATTGAGCGATAAACTTACTTCATCCACACAACAGCTCCCATAGGAAGTATCAGCCAGTACAAAGAATTTAATGTCTGTCGTTGCACCCTCAGGTTTGAATAGAGCCTTCAGACTATCACTTATCTCATTACTATGCGGCAAGTAATGGTCGGGAAATTGTAAGCAAACCTAATAAACTAAATTTTTGGTTTTGTTTCATTCAGTAGTTCTATACAATAGTACCCTCTTATAGCCATTATGGCGTATCCAGCCCCAACATATTTTCAGCAATGTTGCACTCCAAATCTGCTCAAATGGTGGTGTGATTTCATCCTTATCCAAGTCTGCTTCGCGCTGTATGACCTCCTCTGCGGGCGTAAAAAATGCTAAGGTGCTCATAACAAAATTTAATTGATTATAAGATTAACACAAAGATAAAAGATTTAGAATGTATATCGCCTTTTTGCAAATACTCAAGTACATTTTCTAGGGTTGCCTAGTATAATTAATAAAAATTTAAACAAAATTTCTGGCAGCGCTGTTTAGAAAAGCAAAGCAAAATCTCAGCGTTGAGAACATTTGTTTACAAATAGTTGAATTGGAAATGACTCGAAACTCAAGATAATCAACGGAATTAGGGACAAGTACACCAAGGGAGAGACATATGCGAACCCAAAACCAACATTTGTTAAAATTGTAACTTATCTTTGGATATTGAAAATAGCGGCCATTGGGTGGACCCGTACACAAAGGAAACCGTGTTGAGTTGGAAAGCCCAAATATGAGGGAGGAGGTCCTGGAAGATAAGTTATGGTGATGGAGCTTCCAAAAATATCACCCAAAGAGTGTTCTAAAACTGTAGAAAATCAGGACACTTCAGTCGCAACTGTACGATAGTAGTATTGATTAAGAACGGGCATTGGAAAAAAGATGTACACAGAAATGGCATTGAAACATCTGATCAACTGAAAAAAAAGCTCAGAGTTATTACTGCGAAGAAATCTGAAGAGTTTTGAAGAAGGTACGAAAGAAATGCTTGTCTCCATTATTTCGGGGCAATTGGGAAGGACCGTACAAAGTTATAAAATGGCTGAATTGCATGATGTGTCGAGTTCAGACCATTTACAGACCAAAGAATTAGATAAATGTGGGCCACTTATAGGGACGATCAGCCTTAGATAGAGGGTAGTATGACCGATATCTAATCTCATCCGTGGAGTATTGTAACTTTGGGCTGTTTCTAGGTAGCGGGTCCCAAACTCATCCTGGCTAGGTGAGTAAGTTTAAATTTTTAACACATTTATAAACTTATTAAGCTACATCTTTTTTAGCACTGACCCAAGGCTTCACCCGGGTTGGTAACCGCATCTTGCAAAAGTCTCCAGCGGAACCAGATGTAAAGGAAAACCTCCACTCCATTGGAAAGACCAGGTAGAGAAGTATCTAACTGCTTTTTCAATTGGCGCCAAACAGCGAAAAGAAGAAATGAATGGCGCAATATTGACAACTTAGCTATGACGCGTAAGAGTGTCTGAAATTAGCAAATTGAAATTTTGAGGCTGGCACTTCTGTTCGAAGTTGTCAAAAATGCAAAAGTCAAATTAGGGAAAGCAAAAGTGAAGAAAACGCTATAATTTTTTTCAAGCTTTCAATTCCGGAATCTTCGGAGAATTAGCAATAATTTTTCGCAAATCAATTTGGATTTGAGGTAATTACGAGGAAAAACATCCAATAAAAACATCTCAAAATGGATGAAGCACGTGATGAAAGCCAATTCATTGTGGACGACGTAAGCAAAATAATTAAGGATGCGATTGAGAATACCATCGGTGGCAACGCCTACCAACATGACAAGGTAAACAACTGGACCGGACAAGTTGTCGAAAATTGCCTCAGCGTGCTGACCAAGGAGCAGAAACCGTATAAGTATATCGTCACATCGATGATAATGCAAAAGAATGGTGCCGGTCTACATACAGCAAGTTCATGCTATTGGAATAACGATACGGACGGCAGCTGCACAGTGCGCTGGGAAAACAAGACCATGTACTGTATTGTATCAGTCTTCGGGTTGGCTGTTTAAGATCTGACTATGATTTGTTAACCATAGCGACTTCGGCCAGGGGAGGGTTATAGACTTTTTATTGTTTTCGGTGAACTTTTAAAAGGAATAAATTGAAGTAAGGAAGAGAAATACAAGATAAAATGAAAAAAAAAAAACAAATTTCAACATGCTACCATCAAAACTGTTTAATAAGCTAAACAAATTAACGAGCAGCTTGCAACTTTGTCCAGAAAACTAATTGCTAATGAATATGCGTAATTTTTTTATTTGTATAGTTTCGCAAGTTATAAATATATGCTGATACATAAATATGCATATTTCAGTAGGGCCTTATTCGTTAATAACAAACTTTAGGATATAACAAAAATTTGAAGAGATCAACTGGAAAACGAAAAATATCTATAGTCAGTAATTGGATGTGTATTTAAATTATACTTGCAGAGAATGTATTTTTTTATAAAAGGTTCGAGTAAATATGTATGAAAGTGCGTACTTTACATTTAATACAAAAAAATATACTACTAAGAATTCCAATAATGTAGTTTTCGATAAAACAAATTCTTATGCTTTGGATTATGCCATTTATCTTTGAAATTACAATATAAATATGTCTATGTATTAATGAAATAGTTAAGGCTTTGCGTCAATAAAATAAACTAAAAAAAACTAATTGTTAAACTCGTTATTTCTATTTTTTTTTATTAAATGTAACAAAAGAGTGGTGTCTTTTTATATAACACTGAATAAATGTAGGTATGTAGGTGAATTCGTATATGCGTATAATTTTATTGACTTCAGGTTCATGAATATGAATCATACTTGCTTAGTAAAGCGCTGCAATTGTCTTATTGCCTCATATCGTATCGACCTTGACGTATATTCGTACAAACATTTGTACATACAAACTTATAATCAAAGCATGAAATTATAAAAGCAAAGGTAAATATCCAAAATAAAGAAACAAATTATTTATGGTTTATGGTCAAAGTATTTAAAGTTGTACACATTTATTTAGTGTCTCTACAAACTTATTTTTTTGATTTCCTACTAAATCCTCCCGCTAGGGCCGTCATTTTGCTTGGCAATCGTAGCGTCAATAAATCAGTTTTCGCTGACCGCATAGCATTAACAATATGTGCAAATTTGATTAATTTAACCTTAGATACGCACAGTTCTTGAGCCAAAATATTCAAATCTACCGTGAAATTTTCGCTGATAATTAAAGCGAGTACTATGAAGTGACACAGTGCCTTTTCTGAAGTGTGCGACGTTCGTGAACTAAGAAGGAAAAATAAATATTATTACTGTTTAATTAAAGTCAAATTATATTATATCTACTCACAATGGTTTTGAATGCGGATCAGAAAAACGTGTACGCACATCGTTTTCAGCTTTTTCTGTTATGCCAGATAATTCCACGGATTTGATTGACCGAACGCGAGTCTTTAGCAAATTCAATAAGCAGTCCATGTAAATTATTAACTTCAAATTTAGAAAGCCAGCAGGTGTTGGTGAACTATCTTGTATACGTTTAATACAGTTGCACAGATACTCGGACTTTATACTGTAAATGAATGTAAATAATTATTTACATGACAATTTTGCTAATATATCATTCCAGACTTACGGCAACTTGTCAATTGTGGTAGAATATACCACTTTAGCTTCCTGGTCTAATCGTTCAAGTAACTCAGCAGGCACGATATCGTTTACATCATAGATATCTTCCAATTTGGTGGCGTCTTTGTTGAATTTTGGTCGTAAGATATCAAAATTATGTTCTGTATCAGGTTTCTCAACAACTTCGCTGGTGAAATCAGTTTCGCGCACAGTGTTATCCAAATCATTTTTAAGAACTTCAACATTTACTTTATTATTTTCTTGATTAGAAGCATAGCGAGCCGCTTTGCGACCACCAAATTGCTTCAGCAATACGGCTTTAGTATGTTCAGCCGTCATTATTGGCAATGGCTTATGTTCAAGCGTATTGTAGACGTTATTGTTCAGTGTAGCTTGTTCAATGGGTATAATGCGCACCTATAGAAGAGTTAAGACTGTTTATAAAATAACACGATTAAACATATATATGTGTTTTGGGTTACCTTGTTAGTAATTTTATTGCGTACACAGATGTAGGTGTCTGTGAGAGAAGCTGCTTCGCCAGCGTCAATAGCACCATGATAAATTTGATCATTGGCAGTTACCATTGCAACTTTTGCTGCCGACTCCTTGCCGCGCTTTCGCGTAAGGCGGCAGAATTGTATAGCATCCTTGCTAACAGCGCCCAGCTGACCATTTTGGAACTTCACTGAAAAAGTAAATATCAATTTCGAAATTATATGAAAATTTCAAGTGCAAACAGAAATTCTTACACAATGTGGGTATTGGTGTGTCGTGTTTACGCGGAAACACTTTCTCAATTATTGCTTTTTCCTTCATAGTTTTTATATTTGGGAAAATAATAAATTTAAAGAAAAATCCTAAACAAATGACCCGCACAATCACAAAAACAACAACTAAGCAACACGTGAAGCGACTGACATTTGTATATTGAGAACCGGTACTCGGTACTCATGCCAAACATTCATGCAGTATTAGCTCTGTTCGGTGAGAAATGTCAAAATATTATATTGGGAACATACAAAAAAGAAAAAAGCATAACAAAATAATATTTTCTTGAAATATAAAAAATTTCGTTTTTGATAGTTCTGTTCGGCGAGAAATGTCACTAATGAAACGTCAAAATTGCAAATTTTTCTGTTTTACATCTCCTCAGTTTTATTTTTAAATATGAATTATAAAAAAAAGTGAAATTGTTTGGCAAGAATTCGAATCTAAGTACAAGTTTTACCTGTTGATTTATACGGAGTTAGGTGCTGAAAGGGTGAATGCATTAAGCGTCATTGAGCTTTGCATCTGTTGAAAGCCTTGGACACTGTTAAACCAGCCGAGCTACTATTAGACCTTGAGTACTTCTCATTATCGCTGTAGTTGAAAGCTTGGACCATGAACTATTTGTCAATCAGCGGTAGAACTGCAAGGTCAAACACTCAGACTTATGTTTTTTTTATCTCTTTGCGAATCACTACTATCTCTTATGTCAATGACTCCGAAGATAGCTTCGGCCAAGATACTCCTTCACTATGTAGTGTTCGTCTTGATGTTTTTCCTACAAGGTAAAGGACCTACAGGCAGAACACCTGCAGGGTAAGGGTTCAAGAATTTTGCCGCGACTAAAATCCAAAAGCTCCCGCGACAGTCGGGTCTATATACCGAAACGACCGGAAAATCCGGTTAACGGGTGTCACTACCGTAACATTTTCCAAAAAGTACTTAGGGGATTGTTTTTGCGCCTATTACAACAACAACAACAACAAATTACAGTCATTCCTTAACGGTTGGTTGATTAACAGACTTTTATTTCATGCCAGAAAAATACTCTGAATGTATTCTTTCTGCAACTGTGGATGCCACCATCGGCAAGATAGCACGCCCTGCAAACCATCTGGCTCTAAGTCGCCGACGTAAAAAACTCCAACGGTCAATAATCCGAATGAACAAACACAAGAAAACTTATTTGCAACATACTTAGCAACAGGCCGAAAGGTTTAACAGCTGAAACTATTTATCCAGCGATGGAGTTTCCATAAAGATTAAAAAGACAGAGACTATTCAAAGCATTGACACATTTACTTGTATATCACATAAAAAGCATCACACTTTGCCTTCCGCTCCGACATACCCAGCGCGTGCCAGACATGTGAGTCTCGATACGGCACATTTACCTTTTGCCATCTCTTTGCAGGTGCTTATGATTCATCTAACACCCCTAACACTCCTTGGTCTGAACCCGACGAAACTGCTGGTTTATGGGGTGAAGCTTTTTAAAAACGGCACAAAGGTTTCCGTGGTGGAACCAAATGTCCGGACAATTAATATTTATTTTCCGTTGATAAAAAAAACTCAGAGTAATTCATGTATATATATATATATATTGTATATATATATTTCATATTTGCATGTCTTCATTTTTAGAACCAATTTTACCTTTGCTTAGGGATCTTTACAAAGCCACGGTACCAGCCTTCGTGAAGTCAAAACCGCTTAACGTATAGTGTTTACTTTTGACGATGTGCACCACTTGCTATGGAGAAACAGAAAATAAATTTATCAAAAGCTTTTCAAAGCTATATCTTTTTTGTTTACAAAGCACCCACCATAACGAGCTTAATGAGAAAAACAGCGAAAGTCAAAAAATTAATGGTAATTAAAGCAGTCTCTGGAGGGAAATTCAGATTTGATTCCTCTAGTATACCACGTTTACGACGCATGTGCACCTTTGGTGTCCAAATCGTGTTAAAACCATCCTCTATACACATATACATATGTATGTAAATATGTATTTGATGAGAGTAGTACATGAAAATATTTAATAATATTTAATAATAAATATTTTTTTTCGATTTAATAATACTTTTTTTTACCTATCACAAGCATCATTCTATGCTTCAATTTCTTCAGTTTACTAAGCTTTTGTTCGATTGTAAGCCTCGATTGCCGCACCCAGCTACGTTTCACGGTGCTTAGGAAGCTGAGAAATCCCTGCAACGAAGGACTTTGTAGTCCTTTTATAACGTGCATAAGCACGGTTGTTTTATCCTCTTTCGACCGCACAACCTCATCTTCGTTTCCTTTTTCCCCGTCAGAAATGTTGCCCTCTGGTTTCGCCTCTTTGCCTTCGATTTCAAGCTTTGTATTTTCAGTCGTTTTCTGGTCTTGAGAGCTTACTGCTTCTTGCTGCCTCGAGTCTTCATCCATTGTCTTTGTTGGCATGATTATTTGTTCTTTGTTTTTTAGCAGTTGGGAAGCTGGATCGAGCATTTTTTTCAAAGTCTCCACATCTTTTGCATTACTAAAACGTTCCCGTTGATATGCCAACCACTCTGGACTGGGTGTTGTTGCATCTTCGTGTGTGTTTGTTTTTGAGTTTTTTCCCCTAGTAACAGCCTTCTCCGCTGCCACGCCAATGCAAGTGAGTTGTATTAAAAGACAAATTCCAAGCAAGAAAACACCAAAGTGTAGAGCCATCATGTTGTAGTGTTGAAAGTTGCTATGGAACTGTAAGCTTATTTCAACATATAGTCTTCTGGCTGATCTTCTTTTGGCTGCAAATTTCCTGTGTACACTTGTGTGAGCGCCTCGAGAGCATTTTACGGTGTGTTAATTTCTGAAGAGTGTCAACCGTTGCATGCGAATGCACTGACAATTGAGTTTGTCTTTTTTTTTTTAAATCGTTCTGCAACAAAGTTCTCTCTATGGCAATCCGCGAACTTACGATTACATACTTTATTGCGACAATTGCGGCCATAAATCTAAATCGTTTAAGTCAGAAGCACAGTCATAATAGACTTCTTCTAAAATGAGACATTGAAACGGCGGCGTAGACTAATTTCATATTCGAAATGACGAGATGAATCCATTTAGCCAATCCTGTCTGCCCGTCCGTATGTCCGTGGCTCAATTGATGTAAATTGTACGAAGACCAAGTTCATCTCATACATAACAACAATTTTGAGCGGCAACTTCGAAAATTAACAGAAATGTTCCTATAGTTGGTGCGATCTTACATGAGCACGGACAACGCTGAGCTTTTACCATAAAGTGCCCATGGTGGATCGCTGTAGAAGGAATGATCTTCTAGCTTTCACCAAGTCGCATCTTCAGATTTTCGGTATGAGCTCTGACTGGTCACCTGCGATTAATATACGCGCGGTCAGATAGCAGAGTGGTGGTCGGTAAGGTAGTATCATCTCGATAGATTTTTGCATCTTCGCTCTCATACCTTTAGAATTGCAATCAGAGACCGTTCAATTTTGCTCAGCTTTGATCTGAACTATTTTGTTTAATTTTAAATTAAATTGCCTATTGACGGCGGCCGCGTTAGCCGAGTGGTTAGCATTGCCTACTGATATACGGAAGACTCGAGTTCATTTCTCGGTGCCACCAGTCTCCAAAAATTATGGAAAATTGATTTAAAAAAAACAAAATTAAATTAAATTTTCTAATTGCGGTCGCCCGTCGGCAGGAATATTCACCCCTCCGAGTGTATTTCTTACATGAAACAAAGGTTCCGTTCGGAGGCGGCTTAGTATAAATTTTAAATCCCTCCATTTGTTGGAAAATCCTCACTGCTCTTCAATCACGACCATATTCGTTTGATGGTGCTTTAAGTGATCCACTTTTTCATCATCAGTCACCAACCGCTCCAAATGTTATTGATTTTCTTGCCATTCAACAGTTATTTGAGTATTCGATCCATGAGACTTTTTCCCGTTAACTCTTGTGGTGCCCACGCAACGAGCTTCTTTTTGTATCCAACCTTTTCGAAGTGTTTCCAAACTAAGGCAATCGAAATAGTGCTCACATGATGGTCAGAATAGACGATTTTTCCGTAGAGGACGAGCTCCGAGAATGTTGACCAAAATCTTCCACGGATGACGTCACTGTAGCTCTGGTGAAGTCCAAAATAGACGAAGACCTACGATTGACACAAGAAATGATTGCTAATGAATGGTACTTGAATGTCATGGCTGTATCGTGAATATTAGGTAATCATCTGGGATACACGGAAAAATCTGCTCGATGGATACCACGATTTTTTAAAGAGGCCCAAAAAGAGGCTCGAGTGCATTTTGCTCAATTTTTCCTAAACAAATTCGAAAATGGTTCCACACTGCTGAAATAACGAGTAATTTTTTTGGTATCTCTGGGCTCGAAGATGTACGTCCAGCACCATATTCCCCAGATATAGTACCTTGTGACTACTGATTCTTTCCAAAAATTAAAAAAAAAAGTTAAAAGAAAAGTTCTTTAATAGTAACGAGGAGATAATTAATGCGGTTAATGCTGAACTTGATAAGCTCAAAAAGCAAGATTTTGAAGACAGTTTTCAGAAGTGTATCTATGGGCTTAAGAAATGCATTGAAATCGATGGCGATTATGTACAGAAGATAAAAAAAAACAAAGATTACGAATAAATACAAAAAGAATTTTTGTTTTTCTGGTCAACTTACCGAACTTTTGTTAATCCCCTCCTATATATAATAATTACAAAGCTGGCCCAGAAACGTACGGAAGATTTCAGAATACAAAGAAATTCCTTACTCTGCTGGTTAGGGGCTACAGTAAAGCATGATTGTCTTTAAAGATGACGAAAATTCAATAATACCCGCGAGAGGTGGGTCCTCATACTGAAACGACACATATTTTCAACCACCCAAGGACTATAACATCCGCGATTCTCCATGAAAATCAATTCGGGGAATATTTTTGCGATTAGAAAAACAACAACAACGAAAACAGACCCTACAATTCCAAGAATTAACGCACACACACGCACAGATATATCTTGCCTAATTGCAAAAATTCAAATATTTATTTCGAAAAATAAAGATGAGCATCATAATAATAACACATTATCATTCATAAGACTGATCTTAACGATCTTAATAGGTTTTCATATTAAGTATCTGTAATCTGTATATTTGTATGTAGTATGTATGTATGTATATTGCATAGAATCTAAATAGTTATTTAATATATTGTAAATTATTTATTATACCTAAAAATTTAAATTCTTCATAGAACTAGTTGTTGTTTCATCATTTATATAATATGTATTTATTTGTTACGAGTATGTAGAATTGCAGAGAGAAAATTTAGCACTATGGTTCATTGTTGTTGTCTTTAAGCATTTGGAATGTATGTATGTATGTATAATCTAACATCTGTATGGCCATATTTTGGCATACTTACTCGTAGGTAGGTATGTAGTTTTTATTACTAGTAATATATTTTATAACTGTATTTCATGTAAGTAAGCATGAATGTAGATTAATTTGATCTTACCGTTTTCCATGCCTTTTTTGTATTTCAATTTATTTTCTAATTACTATTTAATATTTATGAGTGCTCTAAGTATTATAAATTGTATGTATGTATAGTAAATTACAATTCCATTAGAAAATCGTTTAAGGTACCGTCGAGAGGAAAATTCATTAAATTTCTACATATGTATATAATTTTCGATATGGTATTACATATATTAAGGTTTATAGAGAATAAAGTTACGTCAAAGGCTTAAAGGCTTAACATTTTCTCCACAACAAATTCTAAAGGCTAATATTTTACTTCTTTAAAATCAATAACAAATCGAATTAAATACGTTTTGAATATTCTTAAGTCGAAAGACTGTTCGGTGAGGTGAAAATTCGGTAAAATTTATACTGAGAAAGCACAATTTTGACATTCTTACCGACTTTTCACACCGAACAGAGCTATCTCTGTGAAAATTTGACAAATTTAGTCCAAGAACAATTGTTGTTACTGGCTCTCAGCTCACCGAACGGAATTAATGTGAAAAACGTTAGAACTCATCCAAATCCTATGCGAAACCGCATTATTTATAAAAAAAAAAATAATATAGAAACTGATTTTCGCATAATTTCTCTATCAGAAACAAAGCCTTAAAGAGATGGGTAATCCATATCTGGCGAAAAAATTGTGTTTGAAAATGTGAAGCTGTGAAAAACTGTGCAGTCGGTTATTGCGAACAATAATTTTAAGAAAATTTATGTAAGTGATTCATATTAACATTTTCTACAAATTTAAGTTTTTTAATATTTTATTTAATGTAATTATTTTTAATATATTTTAATTTATTTTATTTCACTTTATTTTATTTTATTTATTTGTAAAACAAAATTACCTTATTTTATTTCATTTTATTTAATTTTATTGTATTTTATTTCACTTTAATTTATTTTATTTCATTTTATTTAATTATCTTAAATTCTATATTATTTATTTTATTTATTTTTTATTTTATCGGAGCCATCTTCCTATTCCCTATTTTGTTTTACTTTTCGTTTTGAAAATTTGAAAGTTATATATATAATAAGAGGTTTCCCAATACGAGGTGTTATTTAGAATTTATTTGAAAATATTTTTTTATTTTAATTTAATTTATTTTACTTTATTTTATGTTATTTCAATTTATTTTACTTAATTATTTATTAAATCTTACTTTATGTTTTTTATATTTTGATTGTTTTTATTTTGGTTCATTTTAATTTATTTCTCTTTATTTTATTTACTTTTATTTTATTTTACTTTATTTGATTTTGTTTCATTTTATTTTATTTTATGTAATTTAATTTACTTTTATTTCATTTTAATTTAATTTATTTTATTTCATTTGATCTTATTTAATTTCATTTTATGTTATTTGAATTTATTTAATTTAATTATTTATTAAATTTTATTTTGTTTTATATTTTTTATATTTTAATTTAATTTAAATTGTTTTATTTTGTTTTACTTCACTTTTCTTTATTTAATTTAATTTTATTTCGTTTAATTTTTTTATTTTTTTATTATTTATTTTTATTATTTTATTGGAGCCATCTTTCTATGCTCTGTTTGTTTACTTTATGTTTTGAAAATTCGAAAGTTAAATATATAATAAAGGGTTTCCCAATAAGAGGCGTTATTTTGAATATATTTTTTTATTTTAATTTAATTTATTTTACTATATTTTTTTTTTTTAATTTTATTTGATTTGATTTAATTTAATTTAATTTTAATTCATTAGAATTTAATTTATTTTATTTTGTTAAACTTTATTTTATTTTGTTTAATTTAATTTAATTTTATGCTAACTTGTTTAATTATTTTTTATATTTTATTTTATTTTATGTTTCTTATATTTCATTTTAATTTAAATTGTTTTATTTAAATTTTTTTAAATTTTTATTTAGTTTATTTTATTTTTCTTTATTTTATTTAATTTCACTTTATTTCATTTAATGTTAATTTATTTTATTTTATTTAATTATTTCTTAAATTTTATTTTGTTTTATTTTTTTTTTAAATTGTGTCAGTTTGTTTTGCTTTTCTTTATTTTATTTTATTTTTTAGTTTTATATTTCAATTCAGTTTATCTTATTTTATTTTGCTTGGTTTTATGTTATTTTATTTTAATTTTTCAAATTCCAATTTATTTAATTTTGTTTTTCTTGATTTTATTTTATTTTATTTAATCTTTTTTAATTTAATTGTTTTTTTTTTATTATAACTAATTTATTTTATTTTATTTTTGAGTTTATATATTTTAATTCAATTTATTTAATTTAATTTTATTTTATTTTATTTCGTTTTATTACGCAGCTGGTTTGGTGACGTCAGCGGTTATCGTAACCTTCTAGTCTATAAACCTCGCAATTATATCGGCTCGTGAGTTGAGTGAGTGAGACCAATTAAAAGGAATTTATGCAAGAGAGACTTTTTTATTATAATTTCACATTTTTTCCTGTTATCTTTGCACTCTTTCAGCGCACGAACGATATTACATACGAAATTACACAAAATAGCAACATTCATATATGTAGATGTAATTCAATTCGATTTGTTCTTCTTCTTTTTTCTTTACTTTTGTACAGATATACATATGTATATATGTTGAATTTTCTATATACAAGTAAAGTAGTAGTAGATGCCGTTAGATCACTTAAATACACTGTAAAATTGGCAAAATTTCTAATAAAATTATTTTTTTTTGTTTTCCACTAGTTTTAATTGAAATCTCTTTCCTTTCACTATACACACACACACTTTCTGTATTTTAAATATATTTCTATACACATATCTCATCCTTCTCATTTGACATTACGACACAAGTGACCACGCATCCATTTAATGGCCTTATCGCCAATCGCCTCAACTTTCGGTGTATTCGGTAAACTGCGACAGCCATAGACTTCCGATTCGATGGGCTGATGTTCATGTGTATTTTGTTGGAGTGATGAATTTTGACGTTGACGTGGACGCTGTTGTTCCTCAGTTGTCAATTGTGCAGACAACTGTTGTTGTTCTTCCCGCTTCGCTATATCATGCTCTACCGCTGCTGGTTCGTCACTTTTCGTATTGACATTATAATTGTTCTCGCCTTTACCAGGTCACATATCACCGCTGCTGGCCCATCGTATATCATCGGCTTCGTGTGTTAGGTAACGTGTGCCAACTTGACCCTCTAAGTTGCGTAAGTCTCTATAGGTCTGCTTATCCTGGAGCCAGTAATGCTGTAAGCTCTTATCGACAGTGTAGCGCTTGCGTTGTTTCACTTGCAGCAGGTTGTTGATGAGGTCGATGGCTGGAGGGTAATAAAAATAGGAAATATTATATTTTGAAATATGTAATTTAATTATTGTTATTTGGTCAATGTCATACCATTAGATGATATCTCCTTCCATGGATTTGGTGGATACATGAAAGCGGCATTTTGTATTTGATCATTTATGTCCTCCTCTTCGTTGAATGGGAACGTACCACTCAGGCTAACATAGATAATAACACCAACACTCCACATATCCAGTGAACGGTTGTAGCCCTTGTTGCGTAAGACCTCAGGCGCTGTAGGAGTGTGTCGTGTATGAGTTTTAACAGTTCAATTGATACAAATGATATTTATAATCTCCAATATTCAACTGTTACTCACCCAAATAGGCTGGTGTTCCGACAACCGAACGCCGAAAAGACTTCTCACCGATTATTCTTGCATAACCGAAATCGCAAAGTTTGACTTGTGGAAATTCCGAGTCGGAGGAGAGTAAAACATTTTCCGGTTTTAAGTCACAATGTACAATATTTTTGCTATGTAAATGCTTCAATGCTATGAGTATCTGGGTGATGAGGAATTTCGTAACGCGTTCACTGAGACGTCCACGCTCGTGTGAGAGTATCATCTCCAACATATCACCCTTCAGCTTTTCCATTACAACAAATATACGTTCGGGTGTTTCGAACATACGCTCCAGATTCACAACACCACAGTGGGAAATGTTCTGCGGGGAATAAAAATTACATATACTTACATACATATATATGTCTCGTGTAAATAGTAAATTTGTGGAGATTGGATTGGGCGATAACCTTTTTTCAATTATGTTCCCGGGTAGCAATCATAGCCGTGAAAGCAAGAAATTTTAGAACAGGAATGCGCGCTTGATTTCTCCAGGCAAGAGGTTCGACGGGTCATCGGGAAGATTGCAGAGGGGTGAAACAATGAAACCAAGGAAAATTAAACAAGAGGTTCCTTAGAGTGTTGTCCTCTCCCCACTACTGTTTAATGTCTATATTTCGAAACTCACTCCCCCACTAGAAGAAGTTTCCTTAACCTCATACGCCGATATCGGCGTCCGACCAGGATATTGATGATTTTTGTTCGAAAGTGAACGGTTATTTCGCCGACCTGTCCCACTTCTTCAATGCAAGCCAGCTTAAAATTCAACCGACTAAATCTTCGGCTACCCTTTTTACAGCTGAACGAAGGAATACAGGCTCGAACATGATGTGAAGTCGACGACGTGAAAATTTCGACCATAAATAACCCAAAGATATTGGCAGTCACACTTCAATCCATATCTGACCGCGATTGCCGCAAAATTCCAGAGCCGTGGGGTAAAGATAAAGAAACTATGCTGGCAACTTACAAAGTAATTGGCCGGCCGGTCGTAAACTATGCTGCATCGATCTGGGCGCCGGGAACCATCGAGACGCCAGAACACTGCCCTCAGGACCGTTACAGGAAACCTCCTGATGTCACCGAAGCATCACTTGCACAGTGAAGCATCTATGCTACGAGTTAAGGAACACCCCATCTCATGCATCTCATTAAAACCGAACATCCACCAAAGCACACCAGAAAGGAAGTAATATATATGATGGACACCATCCAGCAACACGTACAACAATCGTTCGATAGGACGGCATACAGACAAGTACGGAACGCCATTCACCAGGCGCCAGTCAACATCTTCAAAGACTCGATCCCAACATACCCAACGTATGCCCTGCATGTGGACAGTCTTCGTACGACACTAACCATCTATTCACATGCAGCTTTAAGTCGACACATCTAACCCCCCTCTTTTCTGATCCTGTCGAAACAGCACGTTTCTTGGACCTCCCGTTAGTTGACCTCGATGACTTAGATTAATTTACTTATTCCTATACAGGGTTAGCTAAAGCTACAACAACAACAGCGCCAATGGGTAGGTCAATTTGCTTAATACCCTTCGGTTAGCTCTCCAGCCTACCTTCCTACCTGTCGCATTAAAATTCTACCGGTCCTAACCTCTTACTTCACTTTGCCCGCCTCTATCGTAAATGCTTATTTTTTAGACCTGTGGTTAGACAAAAGAATATAAAGAGCCAAAATTAAGGGAAAGAAATTCCTTAGGATCCTACTGAAACTATCAGTAAATATAAGTTTTCCCCCTTGAAGACCAGTTTCGGAAAGTGGTCCAATTAATCGTGTGAAATTTCAAAACTTACCTGTAATATGGCAACTTCATTTTTGAGCTGGGCCTCTTGTTTGGTGGGAAAGCGTAACTTATCAATAACTTTAATCGCGACCTCACGTTTGGTTTTCTTATGTACACCACCGTAAACAACACCAAATTGACCGGAACCAAGCACTTCATCGGGGAAAATTTGATATAGTTGACCCATATCTTGAACATTCTCTTCCGATTCGCAGCATTCTGTGGAAATAACGTTGAAAGTTGTATAAATTTAAATATCCTGCATGTGCTTCTCGGCAATACTTACGTGTATTTGTGACATGCATATAGGCCTGCTTGATGATTGTCTCCCAGCTTTTGGCAATATCCGAGCCAATACCACTATCAGGTGGCGGTAACCTCACCGGTTGCTCTTCACGTATACCCACTAGGGGATCTTGACCCACATAATAGCTAATGGTGGCCATCTTCAGTTCGAAACAGTAATTGTTGTCTAAACGCAAATCACGATTTGTATCGATACCTTGTATTTCGGATAACGGTATATCTTTATGATACTTGCTACCTTGTTCGGAGAGGAATAGCGTGAGCGTTAGAGTTTTCGAATCCAATCGCCAATAATGACGCTTTACTGTCTTATCCAAACTGGTATAGTGTACCAGCCAACCTTCTTTGATCGCTTGACCACCACGTTTCTTGGTATGTTTTACAGATTGTACGATACGCATTAACGGTATATTAGCACTTGGCGATGAGGATGAGCTCGATTGTTCCGATTGCCCATCAATGGACTGTCCTTCGCCGGCGCTGCGACCATCACCACCACCACCAACCACACCCAAGCCCGCACCAACACCACTCACCAGTCCATTAACCAGCTCTGGTGGCGAATTGTGTGCATTCGTTGTTGCTCTTGGCGCGCCGGCGCGCATAGACTTGGCACCAGCCGCTGACGGGCCATATTTATGCGTCGCACCACTCTTATAACCACCACCAGCAGCACTAGGCGACGGATTGTCTTCGAAATCACTATCATCGAACTCCTCACGAAAGAAATTATCACTCGTTTTTGACGCATGCGCATGCGTCGGTGTGTTGTCGGCAAAGTCATTGGCATGCAATTGCCGTTCGCCGGTACAATCGTGTGGCACTTTGTCTAAACATTTCTTATGGGCATTATATTGGCAATCCTTACATTGGAGACCTTGTTTGAAGAGACCCTTCAGCAGTTTTTTACAATATTGACATACGGTGGGTATGCCATAGGTGTGCACCATGAATGTATGCGGAATGCGTATTTTTTCGGCGTAAGCAAAGGTAGGCGTGTACATTGAAAGATTGGCGCCCAGACAGTGGCTGCTGCCGCTGTGGTTGCCATTGCGACTACTCGAGGAAGGTGAGCGGCTGTGACTGCGGTAATGTGGCACGTTCTAGAAACGAAAAAAAAAACATATTGAGGTAAGCAGGAGGAGAAGGAGGAGGACTTATTTTGTTAAGCAATGCGAGCGCTGTGCAGTGAGAGTGAGTAAGTGAGCTTTTGAGCTTTAATTTCAATTAACTCTTCATTTGGTGATCTGGCGTAGAGTATTTCAAATTTAGAGGGTAAAAAAATAAAGGAAAAAACAAAATTAAAATTTTGGTTCAAATTCTTTATTTAAAAAAAATTCAATACAAAATGTTTTTTTTTTTAATAAAATACAGATTAAAATAATTTTACAAAATAATGGATATTTTTTAAAGTTCTTGTAAATGCTCTAAACCAGATCGCAAATGGCTAAACTATATTTTTTTTGCTTTAAGTTGAGTTTAAAATGTTTTTTTTTTTTTTTGTAAATATCGTAGATTACAGTACATACATATGTAAAAACTCCAGGTGTATGTATACAGCACACATTCTTTTTATCTAAATTACCCTGCACCCTTAAAGAAATAACAGTATCTGAAATGCAAAATAAGTCTAAGTTACTAGTCCCTTAAACATAATGAGCTTGGGTATCCCTTAAGTCTCTCAATACGATTATTCAGTTAAGTCTTCTATTGATTTTGTATGTATGTATAATTTAAGTCAAAATGAAGCTCAAAATGTTCTCTTCACTTTCGCTACTACCCCTCCACAGCGCTCATTAACTCTCTAATTCTTAATGATGTCACTCATCAAATCCGACATTCGCTTTACCAGTGAGCTACCGCCATCACTACGCGCTGGATCTTCGTTCGAAATTAACGATTGCGTTGAACCGCCCGAGGGACTGCGTGGCGGCTGTAGATTCGATGATCTCCTCGAAGTACTATCGTTGGGACGTGCACAATTGTTTGGTATCTTCACAACACAACGTTTATGATAATTCTGACCGCAACCTGTGGAAATAAAAAAGCAAAAAGAATGAAATGAACGGGCAAGTTTTTCACTATTCTATTACTAAAATTGTAAATTCTATATATACATGTACATATATACACCCCACTCACCATCACATTTGAGTCCTTGTCGCACCAAACCGAATAGCATCTCACCACAGAAATCGCAAAATGTTGGCGCTTTGTACGAGTGTACTTGAAGTGAATGTGGCTTTAGTGTTGGCATCTCGGATGTGGGATAAAGTATGGCTGCGGCAAGGGGGTAAGAAAGAAGGGAAATGTCAATCAAATGTCATGCCACAAGTTGAAACTTTTGAGTTATTAAAATGAGCTACATATGACACCACTTACGGTTGGCTGTCAGTACAATCTCTACTAATGTCTCATCGACCACTTCCGCTGCCGAGTTAATAATGTGCAATACATTTGGACTGTTGTAGTCATGGCGGAAGAGTAATACACGTTCTGGTAAGTGTGTTAGGCCGCTGTCAGGAATCTGAAAATTAAAAAAAAAGAAAAAAAAAATTAAAAACTCAACGTATGCGTATTATTTAATCATTTGAAGATAAGGAAAAATATAAATATATAAAATTAATTTTTATATCATAATCTGTGAGGAACATAGTTGTTCTGCTTTCTCTAGGCTTGACAAAGAAACCTAGCGAACGAGAACAAACCGAGATGTCTCCTGCCATCAACCAAACAGTCATGAATTCGCGAATCGGCGCCCACATCATTGTTGACAGTCATAACTTTAAAGTCATAGATAATTTCATCTATCTACGGTCCAGGACTTACAACAACAATAATGTTGAAATCCAACACAGAATCAGTCTTGCCAACAGGTGCTACTTTGGACTGAGTAGGCAATTCAAAAGTAAAATCCTCTCTAGGCGAACGATAACCCAACTCTACAGGTCGGTCATCATACCCGTCCTACCAAATGGCGAAGAAGCGTGTATCTGTCCATTCTTCCCTGTTGGGTTAGTAGTTACTATTATTGTACCACATCTATTCGTATGACTTGGTATGAAGTCGTATTTACCCAATGTTGTCGAGTGTCCCCATACCTGGGTAGACCATTGATTTGACTCTCTCAGACCAAGTGCAGTCATTGCTACCGACTGATGTAACACCAAATCCAGTGACAAAATATTGAATATCACATTTAGAGCCTCACTTGGAGTGCTTCTAAGTGCACCACTGATAGACATTAAGGCACTTCTTTGAATTTTATTTGCGAGTTTAGCATTTGGAGCTTTATTTATAGCTGGCCACCACACAATCGCACCGTAGGGGAGTGTTGGTATTGTTAATAAACAAAAGTGTCGGATTTGGAATGAGGATACCAGAAGCCACTGAGATGACGTTTTATATAGATTAGAGAATCATTCTTCAAAGAAGAAACCGGCCATAATGTGACTGTAATGACTCGTAGTGACTTTTCCATACCTGAATTGGATAATGTTGACATGCATAGGGTTCCAAAAAGACGGCGCCGTATGCCAAACAGCCAATCAAACAATCATATTATTAAGAGAACTTTAGGTGAATGCGTTTTCTCGCGTCGTTGGCCGTGGAAGATAATATTCGGAATGTTATGGCTAACATAGGGTTTCAATTGCTACAAAAACAGGTCGAATACGAGGTGCGACAAACAAGTGATGAGCCTGATTTCATTAAAACCGTATATTTCAAAGTTATTCTACAACTCTGCCTTTCCCTTCGAAGTAGTCCTCTTTGGCAGCTTTGTATAGAACGATTCCAGCGCGTTTTCCATGCTTCGTAACATTTTCGGAACGCTTCGTCTAGGATGGGACCTCGTCACGGCCGCCTGGATGTCCGCAATCCACTCAAAATGGGTTTCTTTGACCTCCTCTAGGGAACAAAAAAAAGTAACAGAGTGACATATCGGCCGAATAAGGCGGTTGTTGCAACACGGCGTAGCCCTTAGAGGCCAAATACTGGGATCCGGTGAAGGCGTTGTGGCACGGCGCGTTGTCGTGATGAAGCATCCAGTTACGAGCGATGTCTGGGCGCACCTTTTTGACGCGTTTTCGCAGTCTTCCGAGTACTTGGCGATAGTAGACTTCCCGGTGGAAGAAAACCTTTGTGGACGATTCCATGGCTGTCAAAAAAGGCAATAATCATCAATTTCACCTTCGACTTGCTCATGCGAGCTTTTTTCGGGCGGGAGGTGTGAGCTTAGGCGTTTGGTTTCCGGGCACGACTAAGAGCACTATCACCATGCACTTTAACAATTTTAGCGTACGTTTCCGAAGTTGTTTCGTCCAAATTGGCTCAATATTTTATCGCGACGTGTAGCTCTTGATTTCGGTTTTTCGTTTTCGTGACGAGCACCACGAACACAAGTTTACTCAACACGACACAGCAGGCGAAGTAAACGAGTTAGAGTGATGGTAAATATACCAATGGAGCGTAGAAGGATGCCGGGAAGGGGATTTCAAGGCAGCAGGGTTACCATAATCGCGGCAATATAATCAGTCCCATTACTTTATTATCACAACTCGTATTAAGCCGCTCCGCTGAAATTTTTAAGATCCAGCCACGAAATCGCTTTTAAAACAGAATGGCAAAACCTTATATTTATAATAAAGTTAAATTCTTGGCCAAAACATTAAATTATATGCGTCTCATGTATAAGAATATATAGTATAATACTTTGGATCGAACTGAGTCGTCCAGCCGTGTTGTCAAAACCCCCGCCGGAGGGCTCCAATGTGAGAAGTGGATCACCAGAAAAAACGTTTGACCGATGCATTTTAATCTTGATATTGGAATGAGGAAACCAAATTCAAAGGCGCCACAATTAAGTAGCTCAAGTACTTGTTTTCGTAAATAGATATCTGCCAATGGCTGTTGTTAAAGCAAAAAGACAACATTAAGGATATACTCGTAGGCATTAAGAATTGACATTCAAAGCCTTCATACGCTTCTTGCTTCCAATTATATTGACATTACTTGGACATAAATCTAATATTTATTAATCTCTTCAGAGTAACGCAGAAAATTTCTTCGATCAATTATCATTTATAATCATTTTCCACTACAACTCACTCATACATAAATAAATACAAACCTACACATTCAGATAAAAGCGTAAAACTCATAACACTCCGAGCACTACACGCGCAGCATGTGGCTTTGCCACAAAAGTCCCCATGTCATTTCTAATTATGATATTACTTTGATGATAGGCAGTATTGCGAATACATTCCAGTCAACGTCCAACCGCAACGAAATGAAGCTAAATACCCGTACACAGTTAAGCTCGATGGTTTATAAACATGGGCTCTACACACTCTATGTACGAGTTTATCCTCCTTTTCAAGTCCTTTGTAGAAATATATAAATATGTTGATATACATACGAGGTGTGTTCAAAAAGTATCGCGAATTTTGAATTTTCGCAGGTTACGTATAATCGAATTTCGATTTTTTTGTGGCGTTATGTTGGTACTCATGTCTGTCACTTATGCCGACAAGCTCGGTCATTTGAATGTTGACTTAATTGTTGACAGCTGCTTTGCTTGCATGTGTTTTGGATGGTCTTCGATTTTTACCTATTCAAAAAAATGGATCAAAGAACCTGTATCAAATTTTGTGTGAAAAACGTAATTAAGTGCGCGGATGCATTCCGAATGTTGACTGTGGCATACGGAAAAGCTACCTTGGACCGAAGCAACGTTTATCGGTGGTATAAAATGTTCTCAGAAGGCCGAGAAGATGTGAACGACGAAGGGCGTGCCGGACACCCGAGCACTTCAAAAGCAGATGAAAAAATAAATTGCAGGGGCGTGGTGCATCATGAGTTCTTGCCACAGGGTAGAACGGTCAATAAGGAATATTACCTGCAAGTTATGCGCAATTTGCGTGAAGCAATCCGCCAGAAACGCCCGGATTTGTGTAAGAACAAAAATTGGCTTTTGCACCACGATAACGCCCCTGCTCACACATCGTTGCTTGTGCGCGAAGTTTTGGCCAAAAACAACACACTAATGATGCCACAGCCACCGTATTCCCCAGATCTGGCCTCCTGTGACTGAAGAGGCCCATGAAAGGACGACGTTACGCTACGATTGACGAGATAAAGACGGCATCGAAGGAGGAGCTGAACAAGACAAAAAAAAAAAAATGATTTTTTGAAGTGCTTCGAAGATTGGAAAAACCGTTGGCACAAGTGAATAACAACTCATGGGGATTACTTTGAAGGGGGGCAAAATAGATATTCATGAATAAATAAATAATTTTTGAAAAAACACAAAATTCGCGATATTTTTTGAACACACCTCGTACATACATACACACGTATTCATACATATTTCAATACAAAACCACTAAATATTAACCGCTCTTTGTGATGGTAAATAATTGAATGTGAAGCAAAACGAACTAAGTACAATGCATAGCAGGGAAAGGCCAGCGTAATACGAATATTGCGATTGTCTGTAATAAAACAAAATAATTAATGTGCGGCAATTAATGTGTGGCAATGCACGTGACACTCGCGATAACACTGTAAATATTTGGGTGAGTGGGTGTTGAGGCAGTTGGACGTTCACAATGATATCAACAGTTTGTTCCAGTGGTATAATTGAGGAGAAGATTGAGTGTTTGTTGAGCTGGGGGAGGGATATCAATTTTCAACGTCACCCAGATGACTCCATCAAAGTAAATTGTATATACATATGTATGTATGTGCATGACTATTATTTATCAAGTCATTTCATAAAACTAGAGCTAAATTATTTTGATCAAAATTCTTCGGTGAGTTATGGTGTGCGCCTTAGTGCTTTTTCCCTCAAATATGTGAACGTTGACTTGCCTCCTTTTGGCATACCACTTACTTTCTCAAGATGACAATATGATTTTCCCTAAACTCAACTCCTTTTATTATACAGGGTTAACTATTTTGTGGTTTCGAAAATAAATTTTTCTTTTTTTATTATTAAGTTTGAACCTTGGCATTATACGTATATGTGAAACATTCCATCATTCAAATGAACGCCTCGCGAATTCTTGCAAACTTCGATCCATTCGACCCACATAGTGGGCAATATCTCTGCCATGACTTGACGGAAGTTGGCTGTCAAGCGCACAAGAGTTAAAGGTTTGTCCACATAAAGAAGGTGCTCGTGTAGCGCCACAAAAAAAAAAAGCCCAACGCTGTCAAATCGCACGGTCTGGGTGGCCAATTGACATCGTCAAGACGAGGCATTACGCGACCGGTCGTATTGTAAGGCATGTGATACCATTTTGTTGAAACTACATCATTTTCAAGTTGTGACCTTCATTTATAGCAAAAAAGTGGGTTAGCGAAGGACGGTGGCAGTGGTACCGTTATCATTTTCTAAGTAGTAACTTCCAACCACAGCTCCGGATCAATGAGCGCATAGCGCACAGTTAGTTATTTTTGGGTGTAACTTGATACTCGAAGCTCCAAATGCGACGAATTTTCTTATTTGCATATCCTCTGAGTGAGATATTCGTAAGATTTACTGTCCTTCGCGCATAGACAACGGCGAATATCACAAACGATGGAACGATTAGGCTGTACGAGTTATACGGCGACATTGATTTAGTTTAGCGATTCAAGTAGCAGCAGCTACGCTGGCTAGGCTATGTGCTCCGGATGGATATGAATAAGCCAGCTTTGAAAGTGTTCAAAGCAGTACCCTCCGGTGGAAGCAGAGGATGAGGAAGATCACCACTCCGTTAGAAAGTCCAGGTAGAGAAGGATCTGGCTGTGCTTGGTATTTCCAACTGGCGCCAAACGGCAAAAAGAAGAAACGAATGGCGCAATGTTGTTAACTCGATTATAATCGCGTAAGCGGTGTCTAAGCCAGTTAAGGCAAGGTCAAAGCACAGCTCCGGTTGAATGAGGGCATAGCTCACAGTAGGTAAGTTTTGTGTGTAGTTTGAGAAATCTCGACGCGCCAAATGCGACACATTTTTTTTATTTGCGTATCCCCTGAGTGAGAAACGTGTTTCGTCATTGAAGAAAGTTTTGTTCGAATAATCGCCGTTAACTGCTTCATGTTCAAGCACCCAATCGAAGTATGTACGGCATTGTGAAGGGTCAGCAGTGCTCAGTTGTTGTGTGAGTTGAACTTTATATCGATAAAGGTGTCAGTCCAAGTGCAAAATAAGCCCTAATAGGCTGTGAGAAAGTCCCAACTCATGAGAACATAGAGAAATAGACACTTTGAGGTCTTCGGTTATACTTTCACTTACAGTAGCGATATTTGAGATGGAATCAGCTAAACGATGATGCACAGGTCTTACATGGTCTTTAACCGATCCAAAGTTCGTATTGCCTTCTCAAAGCACGAAAAGTGGCCACGGTTGAATATCCATTTTTGTAGTAGGTTTTAACAATTTAAACGTTTTGAGCGGTTGGTCAGCGATCCGCTTTCATAAATGCCTCACTGTTAACTAGAAAAAAACATGTTTGGTTTGACAGTTGAGTTAGACAGATATTAAACCACGAAATGGATAACCCTACATTAGCCCAAACTACGCTACCAAACTATAACGGCTTATTTTCGATTTTAATATATTCTGTTTATATCCATAAAACTTATTGCTTACTTTCAACTTCGTGTAGTACAATAGTATAGCGTTCGTTAAAACACGAACAATTATCGACTGACAACAGGCTGCTAGCGTAGCCTGAATTGGTCCAACGCCACACTACTAAGGAGTAATCCAATCAGGTATGCCAATTGACCGCATTTTCCCCAAATTTGTGCAGGGTAAGTCATTATTTGGTAAATATTTTATGTTGCTACGTGTTTGCAATTTATGATGTGGTTCCATTAATAAAAGCGACAATGCGGTGAGATGTAAACACGTATCGGAAAATTTATTTGCTACCCAAAAGCTTTATATACGAGCTAAAAGCTATAAAATATTTATGCTGTGACTGCATATTTGGGAAAATTAAACGTTTTGTTACAACTTTTACATCATCTTTTTCAAGTACTCTTATATTATTATATGTATGTGTGTACATATGTACATATACATATACTAAAGTGTGGAAGAAATAGAGAATTAAGTGAAGGAGAAAATAATGAAAACTCACCTTGACGCAAGGACCTTACGTACATATATCGAAGACAGCTAATAATTTAACGAAAGTTATTAAAAGTAATAACACATGAAAAGTGTAATCCATCAACAATACCCGAGGCGTTGAAGTTTGTTCAGAATTATATTTTAAACATGCAGACACATCAAACATAACCTCACAAACCGCAAGGTAGCAACCTTAAGCACACAGATGCGGTATATATATTGACGAGCGTAAGTCTTGTGTTCTTATGCATCACCAAGTCACCACCCCGCAAATCTGCAAGTGGCACAATAATTGAAAACAAAAACAATAACTCACCTTTGTATTGATAAATTCACAGGCTAGATCCTTGAGCGATTTCAGTGTCAAACTGCTGGCCGGTACACAAACAGCATCGCGTAAACTGCCGAATTGAAAGAGGAAAGTCACTTCGGGCCCCTCCATAATAATGGGTACACCGCCGGCGAGACCAGCACTCGAACTAATTCCACCACCAACACTAACGCCGGCAAGAGAATTGACGTTGGCGTTATTGTGGTTGTTGTGTTGTCTGTAGTGAGCCAGTGCAGCTGTTGGTAATTTCACTGTACAACAACAACAACAACAACAACAACAGAGACGATTTACACGTGCAGTTTTCGGCTAGATTGGTGGTCAATGGTATATTTGGGTCTGTATTTGTGTATATGTATGTATATGAAAATGTATATAAATTTATGTAAATTATAGTTGGTGGGTGTTTGGTCTGTTGCGTATCGTGTCCACTTTGGGTATTTGAGTTCCTCCACACTCTACTCTCGGTACAAGACGGCTTTGAGTGGTGGTTAAGTGCTTGGATGGCTTGTTTGAATAAAATGGCCCACATAAACAGCGCTCCACTGGCCGGGCTGGACGTTGGTGAAAAGGTTATGCTACGCTAACGGTTGGTTCCACTTCTCCAACTGCGCTTTGTGGCCTTTTAGTTATTGTTGTTTTTCTCTCTATTTAGTCGCGCTGTTTACTGTGTTGCCTTATTAAATATTTAACTTCGCTTGATTTATGAATTTCGCTAAAAGGGAAGAAAGCAAGAAAATAAGGACATGGTTTTTACATTAGTTACATATATACAGTTATGCATGAAATTGTATAGAAATACATACATATATATATATATATAATTAAATAATAAAAGGGAAGAGGGCGAGACGCGAGATGCTAATAAATGATTATAATGAATTATGGCTATTAGTAATTGTAAAGGCTGAGAGTAGGGGATCTCGGTGACCCTTCGTAATAAGAAGGTGAACTGCAGGATTAGCGAAATTTTTGGGGATAGAAGCAATCGCGCGTAATGTTTAACCCTTAGTAAATTGCTTAATTGAGGGTATTCGCGACAGTTCTGATGTTAAAATGGCATGAAAATTCCATCTCTTCTGCCACAGTGAAAAGAGGAGGGAAGGAATGAGTGCTGACAAACCCATAGTCTTTGGCGTGCTACATCACGTGAGTGATTAGCACTTGGTACTACTTGTGGAGAGTCAGAAGATTGTTTCCTGGTTACCCAAAATCTTAGAAAGTTGATTTAAAAATTATTTGTTTACCCTTCATGAATATAAAATGGAATATATAATTTTGGTCCGAAGTATGTAATTATCAGAATGGCGACCTAAGTCGATTTAGCTATGTCCGTCTGTTTTTATGGAACCATAATGCCCTCGTAAGACTAAATGCTGATTTCACTGTTATATAAGAAACGAGATGGACGGGCCGAGGGCGCATGGAGATGGGTCCTTGTGAAAACTACTACAACGTCCATATAAAGGAGCGCAAATGTGCTGTCGGATTTTTGGTGGAAGAGAGACTCCGTCGCTGGGTACTGGTAATATCTCCGATGAATCGTATGAAACACTTTAAGCGCTGCCATGGCCACGATGTTAAAATTATACTTTGCGACTTCAATCTCAGGTGGGTGGAGGCTGATCGACTCCGCCGGGGACTGAAAAAATGTTATTTGTGATAGATCCAGTATTCTACGAGTGTTTAAGTGTGTCAAAGAGCGCCCTTTAACAAATACAAAGAAGGTTTGGCGTCGAAAAGCTGCAATCACAACAAGCAGCAACTCGTTGCAAGGGAACTGTGCGACGGCATCTCATGTGTCGAGCTCCAGTGGAAAGAAAACTGACAACACATGCCGGGTGGAATAGATGCAGAGAGCTGAAGAGGAATTCAAGACGCACTTGCAGACTAAAAAAAAATGAGACGGAAATGCGTGAGCATGAAGAGCTCAAGAAGCTCGCCAAAAAGAGCAATACTTCAAAATTGATACCTGGAGATGTTGAGCCCGAAAACCCAATTGCTGATGATGGAAAAGACTTTCCATTACCAGCTTATGAAAAGGCTCGAATAACGCAGCTGAAACTGACGGCCTACCGGCAGAGATATTCAAACATGGTGGTGGAGATCTCAGATGTTGCATGCATCAGCTACTTTGTAGAATATGTTCGGAAGAAAGCATGCACGACGATTAAAATTTAAGTGTGCGCTGCTCAATACATAAAAAGGGAATCCCATGGTCTGCGCCAATTACCCTGGAATTAGGCTCACTACCAACACATTTCAGACCTCATCAAATAAACATCCATCACATTTGCTTCTCGTCACTATTGACAATCATAACTTCGAGATCATAGCTAATTTCGATTATCTAGAGACCAAATTTAAGCTTGAAATCCAATGCAACATAATTCTTGATTGTAGGTGCTACTTTGGACTGAGTAGGTAGTAGAGTCTTCTCTTGACGAACCATAACCAAACTTAACAAGCGTGAGCGTTGTCGATATTCGATTAGTCGGTTTTGGGGTCCTCGAGAAAAAAAATGTTCCACACTATTTACGGTTCTTTAAGCATCGACGGCGATAACCGGAGTCTATGGAATGATAAGCTGCGCGAGTTATATGATGACATTGTCATAATCGAATGAAAAGACAGAAAACAATCTTGCTTTAAAGGTATACGATACAGTATCCGACGGTGGAAGCAGAGGAAGGACTAGGTGGGGAGCAATCTGGATTCAACAATCTTTTTTGAGAACTTGAAGATAGTAGACTCGATTTACGGTTTGCACCGGTGGAAGAAATTCTCGGCTATCAAAAAAGGCAATAATCGTCGTTTTCAACTTCCACTTGCTCATGCGAGCTTTTTTTCGGGCGACTAAGAGTACTATCACCTGTCACTTTTACAATTTTTCGCGATGAGTTGCTCTAGATTTCGTTTTTCCTTTTTCGTGACGAACACCACGAACTAGACAAGCTAGAGCGATGTCAAATATATCAATGGGGAGGGGAAGGATGCCGGGAGAAGGAAAAGGAAATTTCAATGTTGCATGGTTACCACAATCGCGGCAGTATAATTTTATTTTTACACCACGTGTATCATATGGGGGCTATATACAGCCGCCTACAGTGGATTTTTCTAATATGAGAGTTAAGATTCCATCCTTAAATGAAAATCCATAGATTTGGAAGGTAAAAAACTCTTCTTTATTGCGCCGTCCCGTTACAGGGAAGGTCTACACCTTAGAGTATATTTCTGGCACGAAATAAAATCTACCCTCCACGCTCGAGGCCGGCTTGGCATAAACTGTGTACACAAATTGCAGTAGGAGCTCGACCGAAAATCATGACAGCGATTAAAAAGCGTCAAAATAAATAAAAGTCCACGAATTGAGTTGTTCAATAAATTAATTCAGTTTGCATGTATTTTATGTGTATGATAAATTTAATTTACATCAACATGCCGAAGGTTGAAGTTTAAAAAACTCTATAATAAAAAATGGACCAATGATAGGATGATAGTGGGAAATTTTAACACATTTATGTTATAAATATACGCAAACACTCATAACTTCGAGTTGTTCACGGCCCAGAGTTTATTGAACATATGCTCTTGCTCTGGTCATTTGTTGGCGTTGTTGTTAAAGAAAAAAAAAATTCCGCCAAACGGAAAAACATGTAAATTCCAAACATCAACTAGCTGCCGGATTAACTGGCGACCGGTAAACAAATTGAATACCAAAGTATTACTCATGCACATATACACTTGTATGCGGATCGACATATCTCAAACTCGTACGAATACATACATACAAATGTATAAATACCCTGCAGGAAAATATACTACTTGCTAACTAGCATCCAACAGGTTTGAATTTTTCGACTAACTTGCTTATCTTCCATTTATTTCCCATGTAATCAACTCGTGTCTGAACACCTATGAACTATACCTCAGCTTTATACTAGTTATATACTAGTTCATTTAGGGCTGCTAAATTTCTTTTTCACAAAAAAAAAAAGTAAAAATTAATTAGCCTACAGAGAGACTCGTACCGTGACTATCCATCGACTCTTTTCTCACTAAGTGTTTTCTTAGATTTGGCGCGTGGTGAATATCTGGCCAATGGCTTATTTATTAGGTCTAAAGCCACACTGATAAGGTCCAATCGCAGTATTTTCTATTATCATGGATTGGGATTTCGAGGTCACCTTCTCCGCGATTTGCGCTTTTATGGTTATTCAGCAGACTGTACAAAATTTCCCCCTTACATCAAGTATGGACCACCAGATTATACCCCCTTGGTTCTTACATAAGTATGCTTCAGTCTTGAAACCTTCTGTTAGTTGTCGCATCTTTTTATGGTCGCATCCAGCCTTTTAAGTCCTTCATAGTTATGCATTTCGGTTTCTTTCTTTTTTTTTGCAAATGTTTCTTGCTTCCTTCTTCAGCTCTAGGAATCTTGCCAATCCCACACAGCTAGTTTTTTCTCCACTGTAGCTCGACTTTTCATGTCGGTAAGCGTAAACGTTCGCGGCCGCGGTAGCCAAGTGGTTAGCATTGCGTACTGCCATTCGGAGGGCTCGGGTTCCAATAAACGTTCCTTCATTTCAGTGGCTTTGTAGGTTTACCTCTCCACGCGTGAAAAGCTTCTGATGGAGAAGGAACCGTGATCTACCTATATTTCGATTCATTCAAGAAAGAGTGACGTTCACTAAAATGCATTGCAGTTATGAAACTTGAAGCTGTACAGCAAACTCAGTCTATTCTAGCGCTCTCGTGAGAGTCGAAGTTGGGGCTCGCTTTAAAATTTCTTTGACCAAGCTCCTTCATTAGCTTTTGGTATCCCCCTTATTCTTTTTCTAAGAAATAGGGGGCCTACAGATTTTTTTAAGCCGCAACAGCTGATGAAATTTCATGTGGAGCTTTGATTTAATGCCAGAATACTCTCCGAGGGTAGACATTCCTCAGCATTACGAATTTAAAAAAATTATGATTTCCGCCACGCTTTTAAGACTTTTTCAACACATGTCGTTGAACTCTCCTATTCGACCTTGACTGCGAAGCTTTTATGACTTGGAATTAAAATGTGGGAAACCTCAAACGATATATGTATATATGTCTGCAGATTTCATAACGTATACGCAATGACCACGTTAACACTAAAACCAAAACATAGCCAAGAGAATGCTCTAAATAAGGCAATTAATGGCATGCCATACGAAAATAAATTAATTTTGAGAGCAAAAAACAACAAAGGCCCAGTTCTCGCCAAGCGCACAATAAAATTAAATGTCCAAAAGATAACTAAAAAGAATCAAACCGATGCCGCAATGAGGAAAAACCAACACAAAACAAACAAAGAAGAAGTGAGTAAGCTAAATGGAGAAAAAAGCACAAAAAAGCACAAATAAACGCACAAGCAACTTTCTAAATTTTAAAGTAGGTGTATCGATGGATAATGCGAGTATGAAGCCGTGGCTGCTGGTGTTGTGGCGCTGTGTGGCGGCTGTTCTTGAAAGGTGAAACCAGAGCAACGAGCAACGAGATGCGATGTGCTTATAATTACGAGTATACACAAACACATACACGCAAATACCGAGAGTACCTGTGCACATAAGTACCAGTTTCAGTTTTCAATTGAAACTCAGCTTCAACTTCAGCCGCAGATGCGGACCCGGAGCTTGGCGGAGCTGCGGTTTTTCGTTTGCGGATATCAAATGTATATATGTCTGCTCGGTTACTTGCTTGTAGTTTGCCTGGTTGTTAAGTGCAGTAGTTAAAACTCGCACAAAGTATTTTTCTGCACATGCACAGATACGTATATATGTGTTTAAAGTATTCGTGTGTATGTGTTCTTTACTCTAAAAGGGCGCACTGTTGACAGCAATTGCAATTAAAATACCTTCAAGTGTTGTGTTACAATGTACTCTGGCTCTTCTTTGTCTGTCTCGGTTGGTCGTTTTTTTTCTTCTGTCTGCCTGCAACTTTTCCCATTGACATTCTAGTGTCTCTGTTTGGCGGCCGTTGTGTGGCTTAATGTGGAACGCACAAAAATGCCAGCTAACTTATAAACCGTGAAAAATTCGCACTTAAATAGCCAAAGAATGTAAGAGGACCAAGTAAACAAATGAAAATAAAAATTGTAGTAAAGAAGAGATTCCAAAAAATTATGTAAAAAAATATGATAATGTTGTCGTAAAGAATTTTTCAGAGACGAAACAATTTTGCAGACTTTTTAAAAGTTGCCAGCATAAAAGTTTTCTAAGTGCCAAGATAGTTTAACGTAGTCCACACGTATTACTAAAATTTTTAAATATGTACATATGTACATATGAACTACATCCCAGTAGGAGTTAAGCAGGCCCAGACTTATTAAAACTAATTAAAATAAAATAAAATAAAATAAAATAAAATAAAATAAAATAAAATAAAATAAAATAAAATAAAATAAAATAAAATAAAATTAAATTAAAACAATGAATTTCCTGAAGAAGTTAGAAAATTCCAAAGTTACGAAAAAAAGTTTACTCTTGAAAAAAATAAAAAAAAAATTCGTTCAAGTTGCCAAAAATATTGTTTAATAAAACTTTTGTCCAACTTTTTTAGATTATTTATTTATTTTTTTCAATCGAAAATCAGAAATACACTCGGAGGGTTTTGACATTCCCTGCCGAAGACTGACGCACTTAAAATATTCAACTTAATTTTTTTATTAAAATTAATTTTCCATAACTTTTGGATGTTGGTGTCACCGGAATTTGAACCCGAGCCAACCTAATGGTAGTACGCAATGCTAAACACTCGGCTATGGCGGCCGTTACTCTACATCGAATTACCCACGGAAATCTTGGAGACCCATTCTTGGATAGTCTTGGGAAAAATGTAATTTTTGAAGCCTCTAAAGCGTTTGTTACATTCTCAGCGGTGTACTATGATCTATGGACACACACAAAACTGTTTACATTTTACAACACCATTTTAACGACAATTTTAAAACTTCAGTTAAACAAATACTAACAGAATCATGCTATCTACATGACCTTGGCATATGATGAGGCGTGCAGAAGACGTGGCTCTAATAAGGAAACAAAACCCTCACCATCAAACTATAAAACTATTATTTCTAAATTTCTAAACCAACATTGTCCTACAGGGACAATGCCCATCTGCCATACATAAAGCCTATATCAGGGTCATCAAGTTTGATGGCAGATTCTGTGCGCCAAATAAAACGATTAGCGTGAAACCAATAACAATGACTTTGTTACCCGAATCGATACGAATGCGCAAAATAGGCACTATTGGTCATTGTTTGCCATAAAACGGGAGAGTAAAATAGTTTGACGGTGTGTGGGTGGTGAAAGAATGTGAGGCGCAGGCATAGAGAGTGTGGGAGAGGGAAAGGAGAAGAAAGAGAGGGGTGAGTGGCATGTGTAAGTGATGATAGACAACTGAACTTAAGTTAACTTGGTGATTGGTCATGGCTTAATCCTACTTACATTGTTCCTCTTATTGTTTTTGTAGTTTATGCCGTTATTTTTTCAGATTATTGCTATTATGTGTTGTTAGAAGTATCTTGATAGATTTTTTTTTCTTTTATTATTGTAGTTTTTACTCTCTTATTGTTGCTGTTGCTGTTGGTGCGGTTGTTCATTTGGTTTATCGTAGCAGTTTGCTGGCTTTTTGTTACTTTCCATGCTTTTATTACCGCTATTAATGTTGTCAAATTTTTATATATTATTATTTTTTTTTGTATTTTCTCCTTAAGGTCCTCAGCAAATCTCTATGTCTGCACTTACGACGGTAAGCTGATTTTGTTGTTGTTCCTTTTTATTTGTACACAGTTTAATTTACTGCTGTAATTACTAGTATTAACACCACTTAGTCGCACTTGTAGGTTTTTTATATTAATTATTTTATTTTATTTTACTTTTTCCCTTGTGCGCTTAATACAACACACCGAATTGATATAACCAATGAGTACCGTTTTTTTTAATTACTTCGCTGCTCTTGGCCTTTTATAGATTTTTATTATTTTCTGCTTCCTTTGCCGCTTATGGACATTTTTTTTTACAGATTTTTGTTTTTGTTTTCCCAATCGTTATGCTAAACCTTGCCAAGTTTTTTTAAACTTTACGTTTCACTCCGTCCTCTGGCTATAGGTATGTATATATATGTCGGTGCACAGTTTTTTCTATTATCCATGTCCGTAAATATTTACATTCTATTCCGAGGGTTTGCGGCAAAAGTGCTAACTGCTGCTGGGCTGGTTGGTAGCTAGCCGTGGCGTCTAGAAGTGCATTCCAACATACCTATGTATGTACATATGTATGTATATAGATGTATAGAGGAATAGTTAAGTATGTGCAAACATTGAAAACCACAAGCATAAGTAGGCGTATACTCGTATGTCCATACATATATATATATATATATATATATATATTATGGACATATGTGTGTATACATATATGCGCAGTATTTATTTTGTTTGTATTGGTGTAGTACTTGAATACACAGTTATTTTCACAATTCTTACGCTATTCTGAGCTTTCACTTTATTTTCCCACAACAATTTTACACCCAAAATTGAAAACATTTAATATTCTATCAAAAGCTATATTTTTTTAAGCACTCAAATGCAATTGAAAAAAATTCGACTTAAAAAAAATTACCATAAAAATATTTAATACTTTTTTTCGCCCCAGCGCTGAGTAAGCCCAAGTTAAGCTTGAGTATGTTAACACTCTAAGCTCAGTTAACTGTTTGAAAAAAGCAACCGCACGGCTCCGCAATAACTTTTCGAATGTATGACGAGTGTCTCGACTGCTTGCCAGAATGCTTGGCCAGAAGTTTACTGAAAGCAGTCAACACCGATATACACGTACATAGACATCGATACATACATGTACATACAGGCAGCTATAAACCGTCGATCGTCGTATAAGATGTTGGCATATGTACACATACGAGTATGTATGTATGTATGCATACACTCATACACGTTGTGAGCGCCGCAGACAAGACAACAAATATGATAGAAAGAAGAAGCAGAAGAAGAGGAAGAAGAAGAAGAAAACAGACTAACAGCTTGAAAACTCGTTTTACCACAAAAAGTGAAAGAAGAAGAAGAAGAACAATATAAAAATCAACTAGTTTTGAAGCGAAATGTGGGTACGAATTGAAGCTAAGGCGCTATACGAAGCGCACAAATATATAAAATATGTTATGTATTTATGTAGATACTCGTATACATATATAGAATGCGAGTATAATAAATTTGTTGTTGTGTCGGTAGGAGTTCTCCTATTTCACTTTTTATTAGTTTTTCAAAATATACTACTTTTGTAATTTGAGAAAACAGATTTTATATTGGATTGTCGAGAGGGGATTAGTTCTTGGGTTGATAGATCCGGATTCGGCGCGCGTTGTTATTCATGTGTTTTCGACTTCCGCCTTAAGGTTTGGAATTCTTTTACGAATTTCGTTAGAGCCGAGTGAAGGTTCGTGTTGACCATGGTTAACGATTGGGGGTTGGCTCTGTAATTATTGTCTGAAGTAGCGTTTCCTATATGAACACAATTTCGTCTCTCGATCCAACAAGAAAATTATATTTTGAGTATTCTCTCTTTGTGTGATAATCCTGGTACAGTATTAGGTCGGCTTTTGTGGTCGAAAAATCGAAATGTTCATCAGTTGGCGACATATCTTCTTTTTCTTCTTAATTCCAAATTATCAAGAGCGTGCTCGTCATTTATTACCTTTGATTTCTTGGCGCCTTCTGATCTCCTTCAACCGCCTAATTCATCCAAAGTAGCACCTGTTGGCAAGAGTGATTCTGCGTTGGATTGCACTACTGTTGTTGGTCGATGCTGGTTGCTAGGTAGAAGAAGTTTTTCACAACCTCGGTACGATGACTGTTAACAGTGACATGGGCGCCAATATTCCTATTTGCCAGCTGTTTCTTTTGTGAAAAATGATATTTCGTTCTGTCCTCTTTCATAACCAAGCCCATTCGCCTCGCTTTCTTATTCAATTTCGGAGAAATCAGAACTAATGTCGCTGAATATCACTGTCTGCAACTTCGCTTGGTATCGAAGGACTCGGAGTGATACGTTTCGAGTGCTGTTTAACGTCAGTTTACACAGCTCTATAATTTTTGCGTAACCAAATTTAGACAAATTTAGACATAGGATCATGAGGCAGCTTCTTTTCATGCTACCGAGAGCTGCTTCAAGACCGATGAGGAAGTTGTATGTGCGGTTTCGTTTTTTGTGTATTAGGCATAGCCCACTCAGGTTGGAATTATCAGATGCTCACATATTTGCACTGTTACCTATTGACCTAAAGGGGGTTAGTTCGTCGAAAGGGTGCCAATCCTTGCCCGGATAAAATATGGGTCAACTTTGGTGGCTGTCGTGAGAAACTACAAGTCTGCTAAAATACCGCGCTCAGGACTGCAACTGCGACTGATGTCGCCAGAGCATCATTTGCACAGCGTAGCATGTATATTATGAGTTAAGGAGCTTAATCAATTCCTGCTGTGATGCTACCGTAGGGAGTAACCCAAAAGGATATTTACTAGAACCCGAACCATCATCCATGCACATCAGAGAGGGATTAATCGATCTTAAAGACTGAACTCAGCACCATCTACACCAACCGCTGGACAGGGCAGCTTACAGACTGGCATTAAACGCGAGAGTTCGTCAACACCTACCTGAAATTTCTTTCAGTTAATGGTTTTCCTTCGAGTAAAACTTCTACTTATTGCAGCCAAAGAGCTAGAGCTACCCTGAGAGTCCCCAATAATACTGTCGCAACTTAGATTAATCTCCTACTTATCCAGACATACCCAACGAATTTACTGCATGAAATGAGTCCCAGCCCGATACTATCCATTCCCTCTAAAAGAAACTTCTGGTTCGAACTGGTCCAAACAGTTCGACCACTTGGACTGATCTAGCCTGTTTTTAGCAAACAGCTACAACAACAACATATTTGCACCGATTTTTTGAGCTCGAAATTCCTTCAAGTCCAGATGCCGACAAATTGGTAGGTGTAAATAGCTTCGGCCGCGCTTTCCAAGTGGTTAGCATTGCGTACTGTCATTTAGACGGCCAGGGTTCAAATCAAATCAACATCCAAAAGTTATAGAAAATTAATTTAAATAAAAAATTAAGTTAGATCTTCTAATTACGGTCGTCCCTCGGCAGGGATTGTCAATCCCTCCGAGTGTATTAATGACATGAAAAAAAGGCTCATCATAAAAAACCATCAGTCGTTCGGAGGCGGCTTAGTCTAAGCTGCAAAACCACAAATTGGCAGAGGAGCATGGCAGAAAATCGCTTCACCAATTATATATATAAGCAGCTTCGTTGTCCACCCTTGTTCTTTAAACTACTAAGTACTATTTTGAAGAATGGTGCTCGGGACAGATTACATCTCTCGCTGTGCAACATATTCCAAGGGCATTGAGGTTCTCAATCGGGGATTCGGTTTACCGGTCACAAGACATCAAGCTCTTAAGCTGAATATGCCACAGTGACCCCATTTTCCGTCTTTCAGACGTAACTCAAGGATGTCCTTGGAGTCGTTACCACATCTTGCACAATCTTGCAGAACAATTGATCCGTTTAAAAGGAAAATCATCTGGTTTACGAANCTATCAGATCCATAACCTTCGCTTCCTTATCCAGTTTGGAGAAAGCGGAACTCGTTTGGCATCGAACGGCCAGTATAGGTCTTTCCCGATCGTGAGCTCTTAGACAGTTCGACCACTTGGACTGATCTAGCCTGTTTTTAGCAAACAGCTACAACAACAACATATTTGCACCGATTTTTTGAGCTCGAAATTCCTTCAAGTCCAGATGCCGACAAATTGGTAGGTGTAAATAGCTTCGGCCGCGCTTTCCAAGTGGTTAGCATTGCGTACTGTCATTTAGACGGCCAGGGTTCAAATCAAATCAACATCCAAAAGTTATAGAAAATTAATTTAAATAAAAAATTAAGTTAGATCTTCTAATTACGGTCGTCCCTCGGCAGGGATTGTCAATCCCTCCGAGTGTATTAATGACATGAAAAAAAGGCTCATCATAAAAAACCATCAGTCGTTCGGAGGCGGCTTAGTCTAAGCTGCAAAACCACAAATTGGCAGAGGAGCATGGCAGAAAATCGCTTCACCAATTATATATATAAGCAGCTTCGTTGTCCACCCTTGTTCTTTAAACTACTAAGTACTATTTTGAAGAATGGTGCTCGGGACAGATTACATCTCTCGCTGTGCAACATATTCCAAGGGCATTGAGGTTCTCAATCGGGGATTCGGTTTACCGGTCACAAGACATCAAGCTCTTAAGCTGAATATGCCACAGTGACCCCATTTTCCGTCTTTCAGACGTAACTCAAGGATGCACGTGGAGTCGTTACCACATCTTGCACAATCTTGCAGAACAATTGATCCGTTTAAAAGGAAAATCATCTGGTTTACGAAATTTTTTTTCAATATTACCATTAACTTATTCCATGCATTGCGTAAAACCGATATCAATGTTCGATATTTATCGATATATTGTACAATAATAGTGTTAGCATACACACATCCCTAATTCACCAGTTAAATGCAGCGGCTGAGCTGCAATGACGTAAACAAATACGAAACTAAACAAAAAATGCTTCTACTAAGCATTAGCTACTTGTGGCTTTCGCTTGGAATTGCATTCATTATAACCGCTAACTCGCTTTTATGCTTATCGTACATGCGTACATATACATCCATATGCATGCAATTGTTTGTATGTGTGTGTATGTGTGTGTGTCTGTGTGCGCATGTGTGTGTGTGTTGGTAAGACCATATATGTAACAAAAGTTAAGTATTTGTTAAGTTGCCGTTAGATGTTAATTAAACCGCAATTCTGTGGGCTTCACATAACTTTGTTGGCTGTTCTATTTGGTCGGCTCATCTACACTCGTACACTCATCCACTCATCCACTCAAAAGTCTATTTATACACTTTTTGGTATGGTATTGCAGCTCTCTTACTCGCTGAGTATAGTATTTTATAGCGCTCCTACTGTTTAGTAGCAGGTCTAGCTTACTGTAAATGCTCTATGCTATGGAGTGATTGGCGATATTGCCAACCATATGAAAAAGTTAATGTGGTTATCGTTAAGCTCGATGGAGAACTTTTTCTCTTAAAATAAATTTTTTGATAGCATTGATAGGTTGAGAAGAGTTTAGCCATTTGAATTTGGATTGAAAGTCGTATTTGTATGCTTCTGGTAAAAAATATGTTATGAGAAGAGCATTTGTA